TAGTACAGTATATTGAAATCTGAATATTTATTGACTTCAATTCGTTTTGCTAGTTCTTTTACTTTTTTACAATATTTTAATTGAATTTAGAGTCGCATGTCGCAATTGAAAATACTGTCGTCGGTCTTTGGTTGGCCTGGCTGGCTGTAACTCATGAACGAAGACAGCGCAATTGCGTTGTATATTTCTTGAATGCCTTGCTTTGCTCAACTTTTCGCAACGTGTTGCGCAAGAGACGATACTTCGTTGCAGTAAAAACTGATTATAAGATTGCGGTATTTGTAGACTTCTATTCTGTTGCCTAAAACCACCTTTTCCCACGACCGGTGAAACCCAAAATATGTAAACAAACAAGCCACTGGCGTATAAAATTAGTCGAGAAAGTAATTGTGAATTCCGGTAGCTAATGAATTTTGCTAAATTCTTGCACATTTTGGGCTAAAGCAACAAGTTTTTCTATTCGATACATGAAGAACGCATTTCAGTCGGTGACTTTAAATGCCCATTCGTTTACTGCAAAAGTACCAAAAGTTTGACATTTGAATTCATTTTCGAGAACCCCAGGTATGTGGAGTTTACCATAACGTAGCTGTTTTGCTGATCATCATGAACTGATTCAAGTCTCGCATCAGCCAACATTTACTGGCGTGTAATGCACCAACGTTCAAATAATTTTAGTAGCTTTTTACATTTTATTGGTCATGCGTAATTTTGTTCAGAGGTGAGTCTATTTCTGAGTGAGAGCGCGTAACTCTGTTGAAGCAATTTCCCCTAATAAATGGGAGTCTATTTATTCATTTTATAAGCCAAGCCCCGTGGTTTATTCGCCCGTTTATAGATTCGTTAGGTTTATTAGTTAGATCGGTAATTTAGTTACATGCTGAGTTTATATTTGAATTTTGAAAACAAAGCGTGTTTCAACACTACTTTTGTTAAAATTGTCGATTGCCCGTCATTGTCTCCATTCAATATATATAAAAAATAAGTTTGTTCGAAATGGCAAGTCTATTGACCTATAGAATTTAGGATATATAGAATTGTAGTCAGCTATCCGTCAGTAAATTTAGGTTTGAAATGTTTACGCAATTCTAAAACAATTGAAACTGAAGCTCAAATTATATCAATATGTGAAATCGGGTTCACTTCCTCATAACTGTATTATATTTCAAAAAAAAATGTAAAAGGTCGGTTCCCTGAGTCACTCAAATAGATGGAAATCCGTTCAGCTGAGTGTGGGCCATGAATATTTGCATACGCTTCATATTCGATTATTCTAATAATTTTATTAGTGATAGTGCTTACCATAAGAAGCAGTTATCTTTCACTTCAAATTTTTAAAAAGCGCAAATTCATATAAATGCATCATAACGAACGCTATTTTTATATATTGGCTCCCCCGCACGATTGATGATTTGACGAAATCGAAATATATATGGCATGCCCACAAATAATGGATGGATGAATATATTGGAAAGAGGAAATTGATTTGCTATGAATATATATATCGAATAATAACGTAGCATTGAACGCGACTCAGTGGGTGGTGCAGTGTTTTTACCGACGAATTCATCTTAATTATTATAGGCTTTCGTTGGGACTGTGCGTTTTAATAAAAGCCAATTTTTCGGTATTTGATTGTGGCTGTTAACTTACGAACTGGGTTGTATGAGTCGAAAACCTCGCTTTTTGAGTTTAAGCTTTGGAGCAAACCGCAACAGTGTGTTTCCCCTATGTCGATTTTTCAAATGCACATTATTGTAATGGTATTTGTCTACCATCTGTTGGTTAAAATACAGCTACTTTTATTTTTCTGAAGATCGTGAAAACGAAGTTCTTGGCTAGGGTGGTAAAAACCTTCTTACGCTACATTATACTGAAATAGATAAAATGCTAAAACAGATTGTTTTCTCGAATGATTCTGGCCCGACTTAAATTGAATCGCCATATAAAAATTGGTCCAATGGTCCAAGGCATATTTGATTGGTTTAAATAAAATGTATACTCGAGGATGGATACTGGAAAGATATGAAGTGTCAGCGTTTCGTCTTTATTTATAGAACATCCTTAAATCAAAAATTCCATTGAGGGAATTAATATAAGTAATATCTTATAATAGAATAATATTAAGAAAATAGGAATACCGTTAACGCGTGATATTGCAATTAATTGGTATTAATTGATTCGAAACTCAAACTTGATCAATCCAACATACACAAACCGATTGTAATTCGTACTTAAAATGGTGTTCTATAAACGTCCATGTACGATCGAGCAAAAATAGATGATTCAACCCTTTCAAAACACAAGAATATGATACTGCATCGTATGACTTCTAAGATTGGAATCATTGTACGCAGGACAGGGCAACTGATGGTAGACAATAGTAGAATGTGCAAGTCCGGATTTCCTTCAAGTCATCGTGTATAGTGAGCTGAGCTCTATCCCAGATTGGTGGTAACGTTTAGTACTTGGAAGTAAAGAATTATGTACGATAGATATGATTTTAGATAGATTTAGATCTAGTTTAAACAAGATTAAAGAGATCATGGACAATATTACGTGAAAGCATCTAAAATATGTTAAACTTGAGAAATATTTAGAAGTGTTAAAATTATTGATCTATCTGTATTTCACCTTTCTCGTGAAATCAAAATTTACTAATAGATTGAGTATATTTTCACACATTCACAATGCTATATTATCAGGTTAGTGTTTTGTTCGAGATAACATTTTGGTGATCTAAGTGCTTAGCCATGAATAGGACTGAATCTACTCATAGTCGCCGTTTCCTGTGCGCTTTATATCTATCCGAAGTCCTAATAGATCACCAAGTCTTGTTCACTTACGAGCATTATGAAACAAATTATCTGGTTGAACAAAAAGGCAAATTAAATTCATATTTATCCACAGTGTTACTGTTCAGTCATATCACCTCATTTCTTTTATTATAATTAACTTTTAACCTTTTTGAAAAAGCTACGTATAGAGCGTAAACTCGAAACAATATCAATGCTCACCGTAGTCGAATTGGCAAACAAAATAATGTAAATAATAAAGTGATAATCTGTCGTTTAATTGAGTTTTGAGTCGAAAATATCAAATACTTTAACAAAAATCAAATGGACGCCCCAAGCGAATTGCGTTTTATGTGGTTTGTTGATAAAATGCATTTAGACTCAGTTTTTCTCTGTTTATATCACATACAATATGCTGTTAGTTTTAGGAGTGCACTTTAGTCACATCTGATATGAAAATGGTCGTATACGACTATACGTATCTGTACTACTATTCGAAAAGTAAATCACGCTTTCATCTTTTTAGTTGATACTAGAAATTCTAATAAACGGTCATATGAATTTTCGCAATCCTTGGTAAATTAAATCAAAATCTAGAGAGCAAGAATAGCATTTTTCAGTCAAGCAGGTCCCAGGCTTTAGAGAAGTAACTTTGAAGAAGGGGGATTCCGTGATTGGAAGGACCTAGCAGCAGCGGACAGGCATCTCTTGAGTGAATCGGAGATAATATATAGGGTGAAGCAAAACACAGAACAATTTTGATTGGAATAAAGTAAACTAAAATGAAATGTCACAGGTTCTTGGCCGATCTCGAACCATAGTAAGTAGTACCTGACATTGGAAACCCAAAATTCACAACTTTTTATCTTTAATAGTGTGTGTCGTGTTAGTAATTTAAGTTCGATCGTCCACAATATCTTCATCTTACTGCTCATTCCCTGATGGTGCCATTTCACATGAATATTGTAACGTCCTTTCAGTTTCTATCGGTACATTCAATGCATTTGAGTCGCAAGCGGGCAATGCAGGTTCCGTGAGGTGACTCACTGAATGTGTGTATCAAATTCATACCGAATCTGAGTTGCTATTAAAATAAAATGCAAAAGTACCTGTATTTTTTCGGTATGACAATTCAGTTTTAGTCCAGTGAAAAATGTCTGTTGTGTAATATGTCACAAAAAGTTGGACTATATTAGCCAGTATACAAGGAACGTGAATTATTTAAAATTACAAGTAAAAGTGTTGGGTATTTCTAACAGTATTGCAATAGGCAAATAGAGATGCTGATATACAATGGTACACGATATATGCACAGATGGTCAAAGACCGTTACTAACAGACGTGTTGTAAATCGCTTTGTGTGAAAGTTTATTTCGGCTGTTTGAGGAACCAGTTTCAGGCGATGTAGATACCTGGCAGTTTAGTTACGTAATACTAAGAGAAATCGGACAGCGGAAAAATAGGAGCTTATTTCAATTTTAAAATATCTAAATTGTAAAATTATAATCAGAAATGATCGGAAAAATCAAATAGAGGATTAAATATTAAGGATGAGGAATGAATGATATTGATGGAAACTCGGAGAGAAAAGTACTTCAACAACTCTAGCCGATTGTGACATTTGGTTTGGCTGTAATATATTTCATCGCGAGCTCGATTTCTCGGGTTCACCTCTCAATTAATTCTGTAACCATTTAAATCAATTAAGATGCTGCTTGTTACAACAGTTCAACAGTACATTTGTTCTATGTCCGTTATTTATTTTAAAATGTTAAAAATACAAAATAAATCGTCTACAAACATATGCATAATGGATTAAAATTCATCGCTAGTCGCTACCAACATTGTAACAATATATTGCTCATTTCCACCGAGAACATAAGAATCAACGTTGTCATATATGTAGAATATATAGTTAAATCAGTTTATGCTTGGCACAAGTTTGAACAGATGGTGAAATAAATTTTTGTAACAATATTTTTACATTGAAATCGGACACCAAGGTATCAGTGACCAGCACGTGGATTTGAAATTTAAGAACCTATTACCCATTTGCTAAAACGAAGTAAAATACATCAATTTTTTCTTGTCGTATAATGTTTTATTAGGTCTGCGATTTACGGTTATATATAAGAGTTGCTAGCTGTCAAAATTAGATAGTTTTACTGAATATTTTTAAACGTGTTATGTTTTCAAAACAGCAATAACAATTTATGAACATTGGCAATGACCTATGAGCTTTTAGCGTACTGACTTTTACTTTGAAAGACGGCATATATGACTAATTTGCCCAATGTTGCCTGCCCATTCAATTCCGGCAACTTTTATGGAAGGGGGTTTGTTCATACCCAACAATGTCCCAGCTCAGGGGACCAGTAAACGGAAACTAGATTGGAATGGGGAACATCCACCGCCTGTCAAAATGTCTTGTGTAAGAGACGTTGAAAGATATAAAGAACAATTGTAAGTCCTTTTTATTTTGCTATTAAAAATGGAGTCGAATAGATAAATATACAAAATACTTCTAAGTTACGAATTTGTAGTCTCCAACAAGGCATTACTCTATGATGTTTATAAAAACTAGTAAAAATAGCTGAAAAAAAGTTTGATACATTGTCGTCTATTTGGAAGTGGTGGCCCAATTTATGCGACTAAGTGATGAAGCTTCAAATGCCCTGAACCAGACTGCTACAACCATAAAATTACTGACAGCAACAAATTTTTAAATTCGTTGAACTTTGAGTCAGATGATACCTTTCTTTGATCACTGGACAAACAAGGGGCATGCACTTTTGCCTTGTACCAGAAGGCCATTATATTGTATTCGTAAGGCTGTAGACTTGTTCTAGTAAGCAGCCACTCTGGTTATATTTATATTTATATTTATATTTTGGGACAGTATTCAACTTTTTGAGTAGATTGGACGACATCATCCGCTAATATTACATGTTAAATATCCAATTTCATGACCATTCATTGTTTAAAGTACATTTGTATTTGTATTTCATATGTCTCTATTTATATCTATAATAAAGGAGAAGATTGTTGGATGATGGTGAGCATAACAAAATATAGTGAAAGTTATGATTTGGCTACTCACGGCAGATTACAAACAATTAATCGTAATTTATATTAGAAGATAGCGATTAATTAAAATTTATGGTTGTAGGTACAACCAAATTTTGTATATCATAACTGACATTGACACATCATGTATATGCATGACAAATTACCATATTTTACTTTGTAAAATTTGATAAAGATCGTCAGTTTTCTTGCACAATCGAATAATTTGTAGACAAAAAAAGCAAAATACAAAGAAATGATACCAGAACATTTCTTATCTGAATGACGATTTGATTACAATAGATATGAGTTTTTGTGCAATATAAAATAAAACTGAATATGCCAGAAATGATTAGATTTGAAGATAGCAAAAATTGACAAATAAGATACAGTATTGGTTTACCAAGAATGGAGTACAGTTCCTATTGATTCATTATATTATGATGAATTATAAAATGTGATTTGAGATTTTTTAATATTAGCTTAAAATTAAAATTGATTCCTAAAAAATTGCAATTTTTAATGAAAATTTCGTTTTAATAAAGTGATCATTATTTGTCGAACAATTTCTTATCTTCATGATTGTTTATTTGTAATAATGTTATTATTTATTTTATCGTTTCATACGTGTGAAGTGACTTGAATTTGTGTTGGATAAACGTTCACTAATCAACGTTTTTATCTTAATAATATAGTCGATAAAAATGAGAAAACAAGCATTTTGTTGTACATATTGCTTAAGGCAAGACGATATTGTTTTCTGGTACTTCAAAAAACTGCATTGCTTTTGTACATATCGATCTTGTCCAAGTTTGTTCTAATGATGAAGGGCGCAATTTGTCTTACGCGCAACTTTCGAAGTGTTGAGGGAAAAATTTTATTCACAATTTTGGGGATAAATATTAGAAAAATTTAACATAGATTTACTGATAAAAATGATTATCTTTGATATGACCATGTTCTGCCATTTATAAGTTCAAATTTCAAGATATAAATCTATTGTAAACCAGACAACAAATACCTAACTTGAGCGGATTTTCCGATTAATGGTTGTGAAGGTCGGATTTTGTCGTAATTACCACAAAAAGAACTCAAAGTATACACGCGATCTTGAGATGTTGTAAATAAACAAATTAATTTTATCGTTAAATCCGTAAACAGTAATTAGTTATACGCGAACGATGGATACATCATCTTTATTTTACTTGAACTTCATATTCGAATCGACAAAGTTTATATCTATTATTTGTATATAATTTATTTGACCTTTGCCCCTATGCCGGAAGATGATTCGCTAAACATTTGGTTTAAATTTCAGGTCACGGGGTTTACATGAAAGTTATATTCGGCCTCCGATACAAAATATTTGTATTTTTTTTAAGGTTTTCAGTCGCCTGTTTATGCTAATATTCAACACGCTGTGACATTTTAATTAATTACTTCGTCTCAAATATGCAGTGTTGGGAGTATATATATTTCTATCACATTGTTTGCGAAATCACCCATGCAGTAGAATATGAACTTATTTGTGAGTAACTTATTGCGAGTCTTTCATTTACGATAGCAAATTTTAAAAAACTGTATACAGATTTTGGCTTCATGCTCGTTCGAACAGTAAGTATTGTAATAAGTTAATTACCTCTTTGTTTAAGATGCTAAGTTCCAAGTTCAATTGTTAAATTTGGCTGCTTGGCCAACCCTGATATGTAAAGGTTGCGGAAGATTGAATAAATTAGTGACAATGGCGGAATTGTTTTAAGTTTAACACAATCCAAGCAGGTATGTGAGATAATCACCCATGGTCCATGCGTTAAACATCTGTCTCGATGAATAAAAGTCTTCCTTCCATAACAAAAACTATTGATTGAAGTTGACGCAATATACCTGACTCGTCAGTTGTTGCATTATTTATGCTGTCGAAATGAGAGTGATTTCTGCATTGGTGCTTTGTGAGCAAGATTTGTTTGTTATTAAACGCGATCGAACACACCTTTCTTGTCACTTTATGACCACTCGGTGCAGTAATAAATGAAGAACACAAATCTCAAAAATCGAATCTTGTGGTCTTGTTCTGGTGTGGTAAAATGCAAGAAAAACGAGAATAATTGCTTCCGAAATTTCCAAAATTTTTAAGTGTGAAATGGCGGAAGTGATTGTAAATGTAACATCACTTATTCAAATTTTACTAAAACTTGCTTGTATAATTTTACCTATTTAAGAATACAAAGTAAAGGTTCGCAAAGTTGAGTTATTCATGACGTCACCAGGCAATGAAATGACAATCGATTAATTTATCCATAAGCCAATTATGTTAAGCCAATAATAATAATAACATATCTTGAACTTTGGCTATTGTTTCCCAAGCCGATTTTTTTCGAAGTAACCGTGCCTATGCAGTAAATATATATATTTTGAATGCGCTAGAATTCAATATACAATGAGTCTTAATTCGTAATATGACTGTATACACGACTCACGAATAAAAAATGATGGCATGGAATTTTACTGATAAGGATTTTTTAGGCTTATGAACATTATTTGTAAAATTATCACTTTTTGTACGCATCTTTTGTAATCCATCGTCCCGCCACAAGTAAAGTTTTTATCGCAGTTTAAAAAGCGTGAATTTCGCGTTCCAATTGTTATTCATAAGCATGGAATTTATGGTTTTCTAAATGTCAAACCGCAAGAACACGGTATAGTCAAAATGTCCGATATTGTCCAATAATGTCCATAGTTAGTCGAAGCTCAAAATGGAATTGTTATTGTTGACAAATGCGCATGACGTACGTTATGAACTCCAACCAAACCCAAACAGATTGAATATGAAAGACGTGGAAAACAAATGGAACCAAGTTAAGTGTACGCCCGCGAACAAGCGCAAATACGTCGACTAATGTTTATGAACGTTAATCAGGTAATGTATCATAAACTGAGAAATATATCATAATGGAGGGTGATGATGTTATGTTAACGGCAGACTCGCTTTTTACGTTAGCATCAAATAAACTCGTCATGTTTATTTATCGCTCAATCCAAGCACTAGAGATTAGATTTGACACTTCAAATCAGAAAAAACGATTCCTCCGAAAATAGAATCTTTTTATATCCTTGCTAATACGGGCCTTGTTCGGATAATAGATTAGAAACACATCTATTGTTTATGATATGTATTTCATGAAATATTTATTCTCGTAACGATAATGTTTGTGTATGTTGAAGTTTTTGAAAGATTAAATAGTTCCCGTTGACATCTTTCGCCAGCTATTGTATTACAGTTATTGTAGCATTTTTAACAAAAAAAAAGTATATTTATTTTTGTCATAGTCCGTTGCATTTTCTATTATCCGACGCGAAAGTTTACCTTCGAAAATAACAATGGGTGGCTTTCAGTCGATCGATTGAACATATAATAGCGTCATAAAAACAAAAAACAAATTTTTTGACATAAAAATTTTTGTGTGACTCGACGGCGTCGGTGTCATATTCATGCCTAGTACAGACGGTCTGTCTGAGATTCGGCATATCCGGATTTCTGAGTCAGGAAAAGTGAACACATAAATATTTATGTGAAGAATTGTCTACAAATGATGTTATACACTCACAAATTCATTATTTTCAATACTTGTAATTTTTACTTACTATTCAATTTGATCATTAAATAAATAAAACTAATTGTAATTTTTTTTACAATATTTGATTATTTAAAAAGATTTTTAAATTTCTGTAATTTCAAAAACATTATTTGGGGCTCCCGAAGTATGCGAACCAAGATGGCGGACATCGGAATGTAATATGTGTACTAGGTTAGGGTTAGGCCATAATTTTAGGTATAAATACTACGGGAGGCTCTTGGCTAGTCTTCGAACTGATAATAGGACTAGAATAAGGAAAATTGGAAAAATATTATCGCCTAACCTTAACCTGTTACCCATGTTACGTTCCGATGTCCGCCATCTTGGTTCGCATACTTCGGGAGCACCCATTATTTAGCCAATAACTTAACTTAATGATATTTTATTAAATAAGATAATAATTGATCTCCATTGTAATAGCCAGTAAATATAGCCGATGGAAATCTGTGCTCTGAACCGCCCACTTGTGGATTGCGCAAGAATTCCATAAACGAATTTTACTGTCACCATTCGCAGTCTATTTCTCCCATTCCATCATCTTCCATAATCACGTGGTTAGATAAACATAGGTGTCATTTTAGTGAATGCAATTTCACACCGTATACCCAATATAAATATTTTCCTTCGCCGACTGGATAAAGCGTCCGCAAATTCGTGTTATCGGCGGTTAGGCGCGTTTGGTACATAAATCATGCTTCAAAAACACGATTCGGTCACTTATCAAGCTAAATTGAGATTTATTCAACTCGGAAACACTGTTTGTGTCATTCGCTGGTCGGCCGCTCCCGAATATCATTGTACTAAAGTTTGTCCTTCGTGGAATCCTTTCAGCACATCTCCGATGCTACCTTTGTTACTAGGGGATTAATATGCTCTCGGATCTTATTAAAAATAACGTATTTTTATTGTCTGGTGGGTTTTTCTTGTGAGACATGGAAACAATTTATATTTTCATTCAATGGTAGACCGCTTTCACTGCTGAATATAGGTGGGGCTGTGTTACCGAGTCGACGTGTGTTTTAGACAGGTGGTAAATTTGATTCAAAAATGGATTTTTAGAAGACGATCGAAACATTATAGAATAAAGGTATTAATTAGTTTTCGAATAACATACTTTTTTCAACGAAAATTCCAACCAACTAATTTTTGTTGTATCAATTCGTAGACTAGTAGCAGATTATATGTGACTCTTTGTACATCTCACGATTAGTATATTTGTGACGTCACAATGTGAATCAAACAACGATTGTCGCGATTATGATTCCGAGCAACACGCCATAATAGCTCAACGAACGGACGCGTACCATCCGTTTTGTGCATCAATACTCCAGCCTTACAGCTCAGCCGCAGTATTAGGACATGAATAAAGTTAAAATAAATAAAATTACCTTAGACAGTATGCTCAATAACTCATGCTATTTACCGGGATATTGCGTGAATTAGCGGAAGCTGTAGCGCGTGACACGGACTTTCAATTTTGCTAAAGTCGCAAAATGTCGTATAAACCTACGAAGATTTGAATACTAGATCAAGTATGATATGTAGTTGGTACATGGTTCAAGACATAATTAGTCAACGGTCCATACTTTTAGAGAATCACCACTTTCCTAGGTGTGACGTCATCGTGGTTAAATATGATACATCGCATGAGATTTCGGTATGTGTACGGTATGCATATTATAAGTTGCAATATTGATGATATTGCATCTAACTCTGAAAATTTCAAATTCGTAAGTTACATGATAGAAAATACTGCAGTTTCAGAAACAGAGAAAGAAAAATGTTGAAAATATCCCAAAACGATGATGTGCTTGCTACTTGTGCTTTGCTACTATTTTTCAACCAGCAAGTAGAAGTTAGTCTACGTTGTAATAAAATTGAGCAATTTATTTTCGATGTCGTGTAAAAGTGAAATGGGTTCATCTGTTGATGAGTAGTGTAACAGTAATCATGAGATAAAAGTGGACGGACATATGATGTTGCGCGCTTTTAAGAAGGAATTTACCTTTGTTCGGTGCAAAGTTTGGTTTAGTCTCTTCAGTCAATTTAGCAAACATCAATAGTTAATCGGTCAATCCGGACATTGAATATATTCATTCATTGTTAGAGGTGCATTTTGGTTTCATAGACATAGTGGTGATCGTTAGCACCTGTCTTTTGTCCGCATATTCAACCTATGAAGGGATCAAATATTTGTTCAATTGAAAAAAAACGTGCCAAGGTTCATGTTGTGTTATTCCTCTTAGAAAACTGTAAATTTGCTTCTTTGTAAAAAGTCCATGACTGAATATAGTATCCCAAAAAGTGTCAACAGCCGTCTATAAACCGTATACATGAAATGCAAAGTAGCCAGTTCGCCGAGTTATTTCCCTTTTTTTGTTAAACCTATATTATGCGATCTATCAACTGAAAAACGAAAGCATTCAATATAAAAGTACACTCTTATTGACAGTGAGTCGTGGGTGGCTCTATACATGGCGGAAATATGTGGGAGAGTTTCCTTTGCTCGCTTTCATCATTTACTGATATTTATATAAACAACTTTCTGAAGACAGCTTTCCTGCTTTACTGACTAATTATGGAGGAGCCCAAGATGAGACTTCGATGAACTTAAGTGAGGTGATGAGAGTATCGAAGATCTTCATTTAAGCGAGATTGTGTCGAGAATTCAGCTGGGAGCTGAAAATGGGTGCGGCCAAGGCGTGACGTACTATACTATATGCAGCATCGCTTAAAATCGTCATTTTGCATTTACTGGGTATAAAGTTCAGTAAATAAGAGATACTGATGTCGTTAACATATAATCGAAGGCATATTACTCACTCCAACATTAGTTTGTTCATACAATATATAAGTATAATATATATTACAACTTCAACAGGCTTTGTTCTTAAGGAGTAGACTTACTTGCTTGTTTCCTTTAACAAATATTATGGTTATGGACGCGTTTAGCGAATGGTTTGAATTTTACAGTAAAAGTTGCGTGCAGTATAAATTACTAGCTTGATTCACAAAGAAAATGTGGTGCGCTGAGTGATATCATGAAACAGGATATTGTATGATAAACACATAATTGGGCATAAAACTGTTCCAAGTATTTTTCTAGCGTATATTGCACATAGCATGGAATCATATCGCATAAAACTTAATTTGGTTTATGAGGACAGTGTAGTACAGAAATATATTGGGAGTATGGTACTGTAATTGCACATGCATTAGCTCGGCAGTACCTTTACAGCGCATATTCATCTCAGTTATACCTGAGTACTCAATTATTACAGAAAGGCCAACAATTTATGGCATTAGAACCTGAAAGACCAAGCAAAGCAATGTGAAAATACATTAATTTTGTTACAATGGTGACATCGTAATGCAACATTTAATGTGTATGTATAACCATGCAGATAGTCGTAAAGTTAACAATTAACTTTTACTCACTTGCAACCGGGCGGGTACCGGTAGCTTGCGACAGGTACCAACTGACGTGTTTGTTTGACTTCTTCGACTTTAATTCAACTTTAATGCTTACATTAGTGATAATAGCATAAAAGTGACAAACGGCACAGCTCACTACGGATTTTGCAATAATGCAACTCTGCACGAGTGCAACGTCCGCCACTGCGACTCGCATACATGGAAGAGTCATTAGACCAGAAGGTCCACGTGTAGCGTTAATGTAGCAATGGGTTCAGGGCGATAAACTAACTTTTGGCAAGTCGTAGAGTAGCACGAGAGTGAAATAGACAATAAAAAGAACTCACCATTCACCGCCAATAACAGACCATTATTCTTGTCAATCAAGATGATAGATATTCAGGTTTAGTTTCAGCATAGCTGGCGTTATAACGATATTTTCTGTTGGCTAATAATCTGTTCCCGGTCGTTTTCGCGCAATTAATGAACACCCGCTTAATTAAATTACGTCATGTGACTGTACCCCGCGCTTGCGTCGTGGATTCTTTGGTTAATCGTTCAAATATTTCTAGGAATTTCGTATTATCTATTCGTATGAAAAAATTGATTCCAGATTTACATGATTTTCAGACTAATAAAATATTATGTTTATACCCCCTGATTTTAATTCCGATTCAAGCAAATTATAATCGAATTAGAGAGCGTGCTTGTTTGAAAACTTTTGATTCGTAAAAATATAGATTAGAATTTTTGATCTAATAGTATAATCAAATACCATATCTCTGTCTATGGCAATCTTCAACATTATGCATTTACGGCATTTATATATTGTATACAGAGTACGAATCCCCAGTATAGTATGTGTAGTTTCTGATATATATATATACATTTAGTTTGCTATGTTGATATATCTAGCCCATGGCGTAAGTTTGTAGAGAAATTGGGGCTATGCATCAAATCTTACGTCTGCTATTAGTACTTGGTATCTCTTAGTGCTTGATAATTTCAACGTGGTTTATAATTATCTGAATTTTTTCCCGATAGACAAGGTGTAGAAAAAAGAATTGACCGATATAGCAAGTCATGTTTCAATCAGGAATTGTTCTTGAATTATATTTAAAAATATTTAATTTTTGACCTTTTATTTATTTTTTCTATTAGGATGACTGCCGAAGATTTAATTTTGGAACAGAGCGCGCCTAAAATGAATGGTGTCGGTGCGGAAATGCCTAATTCTGAAATCGGCACTAATGGAGTGGAGGGAATTGCTGGTGCACCAAACGAAGCGGCACTCAGAGCACTAATGAAACGTACTGGGTATAACATGCTTCAAGAGAATGGACAACGAAAGTACGGTGGGCCACCCCCCGGATGGAACAACAGATCGCCACCGAGAGGAAGCGAGGTTTTCGTCGGCAAGATTCCACGTGACGTATTTGAAGACGAACTCGTACCCGTGTTTGAGACTGTCGGCAAGTTGTACGAAATGCGACTTATGATGGACTTTGACGGCAAAAACCGCGGGTATGCATTCGTCATGTATACTTGTAAAACCGATGCAAAAGAGGCGGTGCGAAAACTTAATAACTACGAAATTCGAAAGGGAAGACTATTGGGGGTTTGCTACAGCGTCGACAATTGCCGATTGTTCGTTGGGGGAATACCCAAAACCAAAAAGAAAGACGAAATCTATGCCGAAATGACAAAAGTAACCGAGGGCGTCGTTGACGTTATTGTTTATCCAAGTGCTTCCGATAAGTCTAAAAACCGTGGATTTGCTTTCGTCGAATATGACAGCCACCGCGCCGCCGCCATGGCCAGACGAAAGTTAATACCAGGAAGAATTCAACTGTGGGGTCATCCAATCGCGGTCGATTGGGCAGAACCGGAACAGGAAGTGGACCAGGACATCATGGACCAAGTCAAAGTTCTCTACGTCAGAAACTTGATGCTAGATACCACAGAAGATACCATACAGGTATGGACAATATAATAAAACTTTTTTGTTTCAGGAGTTACCAGGTGACAGTCAAATATAATATTTGCATCGTCATGCTTACTAGAGGTACGAAGTGATATCTGTTTTATTAACAATCAAACCTGTAAAATCGATTTTGAAAATCAAATACAAAAATACCACCGACTGTTGTCGTCATGTATTCATTCGATAAATCGATTTAGTACTCACTGTTAGAGAAAATCAAAATAATAAGAATATTTTTCAAATAACAGGGAATCGGTATGATCTACAACAAATTTGACACAATATATATACCACGTAAGACAATATTAGGTAAACAGATAAGTTTGAACTAAACATTGGATTAACCGTTGGCTGAGTTCAACTTGGCTGAAATTTCGTTTGTTGACAAAATGTAACTGACTCTATGTTCTCATTGCAGAAAGTTTTCAGTCAATTTCACCCCGGAACAGTGGAAAGGGTTAAGAAAATACGCGACTATGCTTTCGTTCATTTTTCAAATCGAGAAGCTTGCATGAATGCGATGAATAAACTAAATGCAACTAAAATTGACGGAACAGAAATCGAAGTTACTCTCGCTAAACCGGTCGACAAAAGTGATTACAACAGACTGGCAAAGGTCGGAGCCAAAGTATTGGGAGCGACTCCGGGCACCACTGTTGAGGCTCAGCCTTCCGTTGCCTCGACGCTGGTAAGATAGCTCATTTATGTTCATTCGAAGTTGCCTTTATGCGAATAAGATATCAGTATCACTGAAAGAATGGCCACCTCATTTATATATGATTTTGAAACGATTAGATATAATATTTGGTACAGAAACTTTTTTTTTTGCTTTCTGTTATGTATTTCTCACTAATATTATTCTATTATTTTAGGTCCAACCTGTCATGACCCAAGGGGGCATGGTCGTTTATCCACAAACCATGGCTGGTGTATACCAACCAGATATGGCATATTATCCACTTGGTCAATACAATCTCACAACCAACACTAGGGGCATTTACCCAACACGGGGTGGGGCCTTGAGGGGAGGTCGCGGGAGGGGAACTGCTAACAGGAGCAGTTATCTTGGTTACAGCGCAGGAAAAGCAACATACGGGCGTTACTATGCAAAAAATAATCCAGGGGAAAGGGTTGTTGATATTAACGGCAATATTATAGAACTAAGTCCATCAGGACAAATGCCTCCACCAACTGCTGCCGCACCAGGCTCCTTGGCGTTATATAAGCCCGTTCAAAACATTGGTGCTCAACAACAAAACGCCGCGGCCGTGGCAGCAGCTTATGCAGCGGCATGTGCTCCGCAGACAATTAGTGCCATAGCGCCTCAACAAACGTTGGTGGCTCCTCCACCCGCCACGGGTTCAGCGATTCCACAAGCGGTTGCAATTTTAGAAGATTTATGCCAAAAACAGATGCTAGGCATTCCAACGTATCAACTAATGACAACTCAAGGACCAGAAGGCAGACAACTCTATGTGTATAAAGTTTCAATTCCAGCACTGGCGACATTATACCCACACCAGCCATATTTTCAGGTATAGATATATGAGTAAATTCTTCGTATTCAAGGCGTCTTTTCAATTTGCACTGCTTTATAATAGCTGGTATATACACCAGCAGATTAGAGCGGTGAAAGCTATTTCAATTCCATCACCTTGACAATGCAATGTCGGTTGTTGAGCGTTTGTAAGCATGGCAGGCAAAAATGATTTTTGTTCAAAATCCTAGAAACAAATGGGCAAAATGTTTTTTTTTAACATTGTACGTATAGGCCTTCAGGATCAAAATGTTGCCATTTATTACTACATCAAAGTCTTGAATAGAAATACACATAGATCTATAGAAATGGTACATAACAATCCTTAATCTACCACGTTTTTGTTTTCAGCCGAATAAACTCTGTACAACGATAGATGAAGCAAAGTCGTATGCTGCTGAATATGTTTTATCGCAATTAGTCGTCCAACCAGATCCAAATCAAACTTCTGTTGTCCCATTTACAGCGGTCATTCCACAGACCGGAGCTTACCAGGTATTTAGTTAATTCGTTCGTATACATTCTTTCACAAGAAAGGTTCAATCAGAAATACCTAGACGTTTAACAGGCGTACTTGTAAACGAGAACTATGATATATTATGTTGTCAGTGGTCTCGAACTGGAGGCCGAAACTTTTTGAATACAATTGTTCACTTCATAATATGGTGCGTGGTTTATACGTACCGTGTCTGTATATATAATTGCGCAGCATCGATACCGCCATCACGGTAGTTCAAAAATTTCGACAGTGGCAAATATTATTTGTTTGCAGTTTTTTTTTATCTCCATGGTACTGTCAGTACCCGTTGCATAATGATGAATGAGTAACTAAAATTCTGCACATAAATGCATTGTGCAAACATAGTCAGCGACCTCGTTGATAATTGAATGCAAAACGCTGACGTCAATACATTTCGGTATGTGTATACTATGTGGGAGTAAAAGTCTGACGAAGAGGTCATATTAAAAAAGAGTCCATATGATCATCCACTCATTCTTAGCCTCGTGCTGATACAAAATTGCAATAAAACACTTAAGTAGTTATATTATTAATGCCTGTTAGATTTCGATATGTATGATAACATCAATATATATTATATAAGACGTGTTCAATGCAATAGAATTATTGATCAAATTAAAGGGACCAATGTATATCATTATACGTACAGTCTGAACCATTTCAAAAGTAAGCGTTACGCACGGGTAATGCGTAGACGTGAGTTCGAGAAATTCTATTCTTGGCGAGCTTTCCTTTCCTTTTCAATATTTTAAGTATGTGATGAGTCGTCACTGACGACGTCGGCGCTTTTCACGATGTCCGTAAAAAAATCTCCCGGTGCTGATCACAAAATTCTTTTCAAGATTTAAGCAAACAAATTTCTCTTTGTTCAGTCAGCGAATATCTTTTACTCAAATAATCTTTTGCGATGCGACATGCAATTACTACGACCTTCGTCCCGTATATTAGGTGGTAATACAAGCATATAGACACGCTTATGCAAACATACTTTTAATATACTTACTGCAGCTCAAAACACCTAAATATTGTTTGCCTTTCTGATAAGAGGATCTGTCATTAAAAGAATTTAAAAGGCCGAAGTATTTTAGTAAATGAAAATGAAGTGATCGTTTTTTCGTAAACATTTTATCAAATAGAATACTATCGTAAGATTCATATAATCCGGTCATTTAAGGCAAATATGCCACTTTGTCTATATTAATGATCTATGACCAAATTTCTAATTTAGTTTTCGAGTTTCTTCTGAGTGGAACATTCAAATTTACTTTACAAATTTCTTGGCCCTTTGTTGTCTGTATATCGATTGCTCTTTGTTTTCCCGTTTATATTGAAAATTTGACTTGATTTGACTTTCAAAAATAGCTTGTATATATATTTAATTGCACAATAATTTATTATACAAAATATAAAAGTTTAGTATTTTGATAATTCAATGGCCGAATGCGCAACAAAAATCAGTCTGGGATTTGTGTTATTATAATAACCCTCCGATTCTTTTCTTGTCATTATTACTCTAATTATGTTCCTTATAAAAGGTTGGGACTTTTAGTGTACTTGAAACAAAGTCGCTATAGAAATTACACAATCACATCCAAGCTTGATCAAAATTGTATAAAGTCTGTGAAAAAAGAAATCTTTCTTTTTTTCTCAAGTTTTCATTCAGAACAGCTAATTTATTCTTGACACAATTCAGTCTTTTCTTTCGACTGATATCTGGAAAAGTTTCATTGTGCTAATTAAATAAAACGAATCGATTCAAATTGAAAAATGAAATTTCCCATTATTTCATTTTAAAAAATGAACGCAAGTTCAAATACTGTCGTTTTATCTCTGCAATCTCCCTTTAAAAGAAGTTTAAATACAAAGCAATGAAAGTCACAGTATGGTAAAAAAAACTTTAAATCAATTTCTGGGCATTGATTATACTCATTTAATCCAGCAAGTTATAACCGGATTGGGGCAGTTGGATTTTTGTTTTAGGTATTCATCATAAAAAAATCTTTTTCAGGGCATGTACGCCGCAGCACCGTTGTCAAATGTACGTGGATCTCAGTCTTCACCCCCTACTATGACGAACGGAGCTGCCCCGGCCCCATCCGCAACGTACGTTCCAGTATCTACCCCGTCACCCACCGTACCCATGTCAATGTCAATGCCTCTGTCGATAATAGATCCCACCACAATGATGCAACCGATTACTGTAATGTATCAATAGAAGTACCGGACAGATCCGGTTTAGACTGGTTATTTTAAGGTTATATATACTTTTAGAAAAATGGCGAAGTCGACTTTGCTTGTCTTGAAAAGCATAATCGGCGTGGAGGATATATGGGTTATTTGTACCGGCAAAACACAAATCAACCCATCATGACCTGCGGGCGAGGGTGTATTGTTTTACACAGTTTATTTCAAACTGAAGCAAAAGGACATAAAAAACTGCTTTAGATTTTTATTATGCAAATTTTTGTGCTATATCTCTCGTGTGCCTTCTTGAAATATTGTTTTTAAACAACGGCGATTTTTCTACGTTTCTTATCATCCAAGTTGAAATCAATTCGGCAAGAGCTAAACCCGCAACAATAACTTTTCACTATTCATGTAATGAGTTGTGCTTAATTTCAGCATTTAACTGCTCGTTAGAATTATTGATGAGTTTCATATTATTAAACTTGGCTCAAGACGTCTTATAATTCAGTCAGTTCATTTTTGTAAAAATTTTTCAACGAAGTCGTCTTAAATTTCGTTTTATTTTCATTTCAACTTTTCCGACTATCATGTCTACTTCCTTATATCATTATTATTGACTTTTTCTTGTCTTCTATAGTAATTTATACATATTTTCCCTTACCCAATGTTTTGATGAAAAATACAGGTGCAAATAAATATCCTGATAATATTGTATTTCGGTGTAGTAAATGAATATTTGACCAAATAATCAAACTTGGTTTAATTATGACATATCTAGAAAATAAGAATTTCGCTATAAATTCGTTGCTTCTACTGAACTAAATTAGGGATATCTGGACTTGGTTAGAAAACGATCATAAATATTACGAAATACATTTAACTTTCGTTAAATTTATAATCATTTTTCATTGAAATGATAGCTGAATTTTATGTTTTTATGTATCGCATTCCATATTAATCAATTTATTTCATTAAGTACTCTTTCCTATTTTAACAATGTTTACTGCTGAGATCAAGTAATATTGAAATCACATGTTAGGGAAAAGCTTGAGCCCCGATTATTTCATCTTTGACCAACGTGTAAGCAAATCGAAGCCCGGAAACATGTTGCCCTGCAAGTAGCAAACGCGCGAACACGAAACCTCCAATGTAAAACATGGGAATATATTGAAAAAAATGATTATTTATCATTTACAAATTGCTATACTTCTTTTACAAAATATCTGAAATTCATTTACAAAATATAGAGTTGATAAGTTTTTTTTATCAGCCTGAACTAAAAATAATTTTGGATTTTACTTTCCATTCACAAGATGAAATACGAAAAAAACGGAATTGTGTACGTATTGCTTTCTTTATCCTTATTTACGTTTCTTTCTGCTCATGATATTTTATTTCTGAGCATGATGTTTATTTGTTTTCTTTCACTGTTATGTATTTTTTATTTTGAAGCATAAAATGTATAATTTGAAGTAATGTTATACACTGCATACGAAAATTAGTAAATTTTCTTGACTTTCACTGCAAGTTTACATTAGTGATTCATCCGATTTAAAAAAAAAAAAAGAATTTTTAAACATATTATTTTTTTATTGTCGATGTTAGGTTTACTGTTACAATGATGTCAGAATAGTTTCTCTGCTTTTCATACAAGTGTTACTATATTTTTAAAACATGCTCAACATTATTTGCCGTCTGTCTCCGCTTTACTACCCATAGATAGTCGGAATTTAAGTGGTTATTTAAAATAACTTTTACAAGCCAAAATTTCACAACTTTACATTAGGCAAATTCCAATTATGAACTTTTGTTAATTCTTGCGATATTTCGAATCTGTATCTAAACTACTAATAATGATAGGAAAGTTTTCAGGCTACAATTTAATTATGCCACATCCATTTTTATTTCATCTGAATAATTTGTAGCGGTTATAAGCGTTTTAAAGATGATATTATGCTGATATATCAGATGGATATATTCGTCACAAAACTACAAAATATGGAGATATTTTTTTTTTTTTTATTTGTTATGCATGTATTATCTTCATGCTTTATTATGTTTTAAATGTACAGATGATACTATTATGATATTAATATACGCTCAAAACGTGGTTTAATATTTCAAGGTTATTAAACTAATAAATAAAAGCTCTTTCATAAATAATACAGCGTGTGGCCTTATTAGCAGAAGCTCAAATGTCATGGGTCGATTTGAGTGCCAAATATAAATTTCCTTTAGACACTTTCACGTGGTTGCATCCGTTAATAAACTTTCTCTACGACGTAGTGAGGTGATAACGTAGCAATGTGAATATTCAGCATATTGAATCAAAAAGAGAATCTGAGTAGATTCCTGTAGCCATATTTCGTAGCGGATTTGTGATTTGGTCAAATCCTTATTTAATGAACAATATCGATTTTCGACTCCGGTGTTGTGAAATCTGAAAAGAAGTCTCCGAGCTCCGGCTTCAATACTAGCAATATCAGACTCCTGTTCTACAGGCGTGATCGGTCCCGACATCGCGTATAAAAGTTCCAGCACGTGGTGGCGATACAGAGCAAATACGACTAGATCTAATGCCGTCAAGTTAGCAGTAATCGGCAATTCATTTTAATAGAAAAGCCACTCTATAAAACAATTTTGAAATGAGTTGATACTGATAAACTAACCATTATTCTCAATGCTATATATTACTTATTTCTCAAATTTCCACTTGAAGAGTGATGACCAAGGGCATAGGAATTGCAACTTTTCTGATGAAAAGTAACATTCAACGGAGGAAAAATAGTTCCAATTTAGCGCGAGTATATATATATTGTGCTTTCTGTTCGGCAAATTCGTAATGCAATATCACAATCTTTTAAATATCTGTAAAACATGAGGGTTATGCTCAATATATATATATATATACAACTGTCGCGCTTCGGTACGGGTAAGGCAAGGTCTAAGAGCACTGAGTTTTTTTGAAAAGATTGACGGACAAGCAGGCAACATGAAGGCGGTCGACCAATACAGAATAAAAAGTTTTCATTTTTTAATGCCACTGATACAACAAAGTTTGTGGTGAAATATTCGGTCACACTTTTAAATAAAAATATTAGCCTTCTAGTCTATCAACCTCTTCCACCTTGAAGTAATAAAAATCTGAAATCTGATTCATTGTCTGGGAAGAAAAGCGATCAGCATCAATCACTACAACAACAAGAGTCCAGCAAAACCATCAAAGGGTCGACTTCGTTTCCAATAAGCAAAGCGAAGCAACGTTAGGTCCGGGTTGAAGTTAGCCATATAAGAAAAATATTTGTATATTAGGAACTTCTATAGAGCGGATGATATAACAATATTTATACTTCAGTTTCACAAGCGCTGTTTTCTAAAACTTTTCGCAAAGACAACATTCCAGGAAAGTGATTTAACGGTAGAGAAGACCTTCGATTATACGTTTGATGGCAAAAGTTTCATTTTGATGTAAATCGGTAACAAACTGAATTTTGTCCGCACATTTTTAAAGCATCAATTACAGTATGTTGAATATACAACACTTAGAATTAGAATAATGATTTGCAACTCATATTTAGGTTTTACCCAAATTGCATGATTGAAATATCAAAAAACTTACGTTATTATAAAGATTCTTAAAAGTAGGCATTCACTGTTTCTATTTTACGTTAATAACCCTAATTGCAAGAATTCGTTGGAGACTTTAAATGAAGAAAATGCTTATTCTCAGTACACGTCTCTCAGAGGGTAAAGAAAGAGTACTCATATTCAGATAACTTATTCCAATAACAAAATGAAAAGTTTGTACATTCAAATTATATTTGCTTTATGAAATGAGAATAAAAGACAATGAAATATAAATAAACCAGAAAATGAAATTCAAGAAATTAAATTATTGACATTAAATGTGAAAAACATGATAAGAAAAAATATACCAAGAAATTACAGAAATATTGAAACAGCTTCTTTTGTTCACCAAATGACAAAATACACTATGTTAACTTTCTTTATTAAATTAATAATCTTAAATATATTATAAATACGAGCATTTGCATTGCAGTTGCAAAAGCAGAACGTACACTTCAATACTTTTCTATCCCTGAGAAATTCACGAATAAAATAAGAAGTTTGTGCAAAATTAAAATGCAAGAGAGCCGTCACGCTTGGCGGATTAAGAACCGTATTCCCACAAATAAAAAATAATACAGAGAAATTTTAAATGAAATATCTATCTCAACATTTGGGAATAAATAAAACTAATAGTCTTCTAGCGACCATCTTTAAAAACTTCAAAGCAATTAGTTCAGTAATTAAAAGGAACAGTGTTTTTTCCATACCAACAAATACATGAACGAGAACATGATAAAGAATTTTAACAACAATATATTATTAAACCGATTTATAGGTACATTTCGTGCCCAAAAACGAAAAGTGTATTTTCATGGTTTAGGGCAAGGATGGGTAAAGTGGATAAGCATTTTGTGAAGCCCCCTGCTCTTGGAGAAAATTGTGAAACACTCTTACTGGGCTATATACAAAATTTAAGTTAATCTAAAATATCTAACTATGCACTGTTAAATTAATTTTGAGGTTTTTTTGAATCCCTCGTTCAAAATGCCATTACATACGATACTGTTATGTTGAATGTGAATAGTAACTGTGACGTCACAGTTAATTTCCTCAATTAAAAGTTGGCGACAGTGTGGCTGGTTGCTCTAAGACCCTAAATGAGCATAGATAAGCAAGAGACCTAATCAAGCACAAATAAATTTTTTCTTAGTTCATGTTTTTACTTAATATTGAATATTTTTTTGAAAATCTCTGATTCGGAATGTTTTACATGTTAAATTTCAACTAAAAGTAAGTATATGATACGGACTTTCAAAAGCATTAAGTACTTTTATCAATTGTCCCCCCCGCAAATAAGATTTTTCCCACCGTTCAAGGTTAATACTGAAATTATATGCGAATCTGTAAGTAAAAGTTGATTCATTTCTATCAAAGGTTCGGATCTTGTAGTGGAGTCGACGTTTATGATCGTATTTTATGCCAATTTGTATAATATGGTGAAGTCGAAGTCATACATAGTTCAATACATCAAATGTGGATAATCGAAAAGCTTAACGAATTGATTGAATGGCTTAACGAATCATTCTCAGCTGACGATAAAACACGGCTTGTATGATTTAAGAATTTGCTATGGAATTCTACTTCAGGTACTGAACGTATACAAGTATACTCCACTCTTTTTATCATTCACGAAAGTAACTAAATGATATTCATTCAAAGGGTTATTGATTTTCTTAAATATTTTCCACTTGAAAAATTACAGGGATTCATTGGACGACCTAATTTACAGGTTAAAAAGTTTTAAAAGTACAAAAAATATTGCATATTTAAATGATACTATTTAAATTTCCCAATAAAAATTATTTTAAAAAATTGCCAGATGGTGATTTTTCAGTCATAAGTCTATGTAGTTCGTCTAGTATAGCACGAAAATCGTCTGTATCCGTAGCACATGTGAAGAAAGTGTGTATTTCTCGTTTTTCTTTGTTTACGATAACATCTTCAAACATGTTTTTGATGTACAGTGAAACTGTTTCGTAGGCGTTTTCTCCTTTGAATTCATCAAAATGTTGTCCAAATGCACATCTCCTTACTTTTTCATTCAGAACATCTTTCTTGTTCAACAAAAGAACAAACTTGCTTTCCTTGAGAATAGTATTATTGCAGATAGATTGAAAAAGTTTCAAGCTTTCTGTCATACAATTCGTTTCTTCATTTTCTAATAATACTTGATTATAATCAGACATTGATACACAAAATAGTACGATATCCACTTCGTCAAAAGTATGAATCCACTTCTTTCTTTCTGTGCGTCTTCCCGACGTTTCCACGAATGTAAAATCTAACTCTTCGTACGAGCAATCATATGTAAAAATACCAGTAGATTTTATATTAATATGCAAAATATCTTCAAGAGTCGGTACATATGCCGGGTCTGTTATTCTGTCAATTTCCTTCGAAAAATATGTGAAAAATTCTTCTTCTTGAAAATTGTCTAACATTTCAAAGCATGATTTGAATCCAGAATCACAAACCAAGTTTCTCATTGCCGTAACCAATTCCGGAGAAAGTTCTGATATCTCGACATAATTCTTGTGTAAAACAATCTGAGCATCTGATAGTCTCTCATTGCTCTCAAATGCTATTTTCAAAGCACTCATAGCCGGTAATAAAGTTTTTATAGATCTTAACATTCCATTGTATATAGTACTTTTGTATTCGTTCCTTTCTTTTTCTGAGAAACTGTTCTGAGCCAAAATTCTCATTTGTTTTGCGATTGTAGTCTTGCCCGAACCTCCAGTACCAAGCAATATAATTTTTGGCTTGTGATCTGGTGTTTCTAGCATATCAAGTTTAGTAGTTATTAATTTTTTCGACTTGCTTCGTCGTTTTTTAATCTTAGTTTGCTTCCCTCCCATCTTCTACCGTCTCAAGTCTCGATTTAAATGCGGTATATGAATCGACCCTGTATACGGACTGGTTCAGCAATTATACTTCTGTTTCTAAAACTTGAGTCAACTTGTATTTGTCTGGGAGATGTCCCGAAACAGAGCTGAAGTCGTGCAATATGTAACGCTCATTTAAGCGGTTTCCAGCGAAATGACGTATGTGTGTGAATAATATTATAAGCCCAATGCGAGCAGGAAGTGGCATTGTTGGACCTTTGTATAAAGCACTGCATTTCTAAAGCATTTCTACGTCTTGCTTGCCTCGCGTTTTTTATAGAACTTCCAGTTTCGATAGTTTCTTGTATTCTTCGTAGATCAATTTCATACCCCTATAGCTAGCCAGTCGATTCTATGCCCTTAGCGCCATTTAATTTGTAATTATCGGTGATAAGCGGAACGAGTAATGAGTTCGCCGTGTGTTGGTGTAAGATGATGTAAAAAGCACCGCATTTCAATATTGTGTTACCTTATAGTACCTTAGTCAACCTCATTTAGTCTATTCAAAACAAAAGCGTAGGTCGGTGCCTATGCAGGAAGTTTTGTGTTACCGTGTCAGCGTTTTTCAGGAGATCAATCGAATTGATTCATGAATATTGAGAATGGCTGTGCTTGTAGGACAAAACTTAAAAGACTATTGTGTTAGCCCTATGTTAAGTAGGCAGATAAACTGAAATTTACCAAATAAATCTATTAACATCCCAGCATGATACAAATGCTGAGATTAAACTGTGTGGAATTTTATCTAATTTCGTAATCTTAAATTCAAAAACTCCTAATTTTATGTTTGGAATGTAAATTGTTATTGTAGTAACCTCCGGCACAAAATGTTCATTTGGCACCCCAGCAAAATTATAAAAATAACGACCACAGACTAGATCAGACGATGGTCAATTTCCATGATATAATTAGGGCTTGTCGTTGCAGTCAAGCAATAATTAAATAATATGTCATAACGTCATATTATACGCGGAAAGGTAGGTGGCACAAATAAACAGATTTAATGCTCAGGGCTCCGAAGCACGTTTAAGCGTATCAAGGGGTGTTTCGCAAGTGCTCTCTAAAAGTTAAAACATCTCTGGTACGGAAGAAACACCATTATGGGATTGGTAGTAATGGTTGCTGATTTCCAGCATCCCATTGTTGGTCTATTTTATTGACCGGTTGTTTCCCATACTAGAAATAGGCTATCTCATGTTTTGACTCGACCATTAACCGTTGACTCAACCACTCAACCATAATCAGGATGGACAAGCATGGTGTTGGTAGTAATGTTTGCTGATTTCCAGCATCTCATTGTTGGTCTATTTTATTGACCGGTTGTTTCCCATACTAGAAATAGGCTATCTCATGTTTTGACACAACCATTAATGCACCCACCAGTACATATTTTTCTTGTATAAATCCAATAATACGCCCTTGTATGAAATACCTTCTTGACCGAATTTATACGAGACTATCAAATAGAATCAGCTCACACTTTTTCATGGCATTGCATGATGGCTTGTTATATTTATTTTACAGATATTATATATAAAAAGCTGTGCATTCGGACCCTCCAAGTAAAGGTTTCAGTCAGCTTGTCGATTGGCCTCAACCGTTTACTGTTATTGTACCCTCAACTCTGGACAGAAGAAATTTTCTGGCAGAAGGTCCAATCCAGAACTTCATTTCTATGGAATTCAATTACGTATTTTAGTATCCCTGACGATATGACATGAACTGCTTCAAGTTACGAGCAGTGTTCCCTCTAAGGTGTGCGCGTGTGCGCGCGCACACAGCTTTCAGAGGCTGCGCACACGCATAGATTTACTGCGCACAGACGTATTTCGATGTAATTTAACAATGTGCTCGGTTGGCAGGTTGAGAAAGTTTGCTGTTGGCCCACCCGGTTAGAACGCCAAAATTTCTTCATTGGTTTTTGCACTAATATTAGTCATTTCCAAAAAAGGGCGCACACACCAAAATTTCTGCGCACACATACTACAAAAAATTAGAGGGAACATTGGTTACGAGCCAATTGAAATTTACTGGCCTGTAATGTACGACCACAATTCAAACTGATTAGCTCCTGCCGATTCAGTGGTAACTAATTACTTCGCTTATAGATGGTCAGATTTTTAGGTCTATTTTATTTTCTTGATGGGTCTCCTTTTTTCCTGAGCGTGACCTGGCTTTGAGCTTCTCTAGTAAGCTTGATTTTGGTTTCATCCATATTGATTTCTTAACAAATATATTGACATTAATAATTGCACATATAGATAAAACAGGGTTAATGAAACCAAAACAATGATGTTTATACTGTAGATGCATTTTGCCAATGGGAAAATTAAATTCTTGTAATGTCCTATACATAATCTTTATATGAGATGTGTATATAGCCGTTAAGGGACACTCAGGTAAATTAACCTTCAATAAATATAGGTATGCTGGACATAGGTATATTTGTAGCCAACGATCAAGTTGTTTACATATCTATGTATTACAGCACGGTACATATCGGCGGGAGACGTTCCATTCATTAAAGTTGCGATAGTACATATTTCTAAAATAGTTTGAGAAGCCAAAAAGGCTGGTGTGGTCTCTTATTAGGAATTAATTCCACTGGCAGCAATAGGTCAAATTTTGAAAATAATTTTACGATGAATACTGGAAGGCTTGCTGGGAAAGCTGCTATCGTAACAGGCGGTAGCAGTGGAATAGGACAAGCAATTTGTCGAGTATTTGCAAAAGAAGGTGCCAGTGTTGCAGTTCTTGATATCGACAAGATCGGGATTGAAGAAACAGTGAAATACTTACCTACAAAATTTGGAAACAAACATTGTTTTATCGAATGCGATGTTAGCTTGTCAGAAGATGTTGCAAAAGCGTTCAAAATAGCGGAAGAGAATCTCAACAAAAAAGCGTCAATTTTAGTTAACTGTGCCGCCATTTTGAAATCATGCTTTTTTAACGACATACCCGAAAAAGACTTTGATGAGATTATCAAAGTCAATTTAACTGGAGTTTTTCTGATGTCAAAAAAATTTATAGCATCAATGAGCAATGAAACGAATGCTGGGAATAGGGGATCATTGATTAACATTTCAAGCATTGCCGGAATCAGAGGAAGTTTTCAAGCTGGCAGTTATTGTGCGTCAAAGTTCGCAGTGGTTGGATTGACGAAAACAATTGCATTAGAGTATCCAAAGCATAAAGTTCGGTGCAATGCCGTTTTACCAGGTGGAATTGACACACCAATGCTAGCCGGATCTTGCGAAAACATCGGCGAAAGATTCATATCCCAAACACCGATGCAGCGACTTGGTAAACCAGAAGAGGTCGCTAACGCTTGTTTATTTTTAGCATCAGAAGAAAGTTCATATGTAAACGGAGCTTGTTTGGAAGTTACCGGAGGATTTCGTTGTTGAAAAACTCGTATAGATATCTCATAATTCGAACACTTGTATAAGATATAAATGAGATGTTTTTACAATATATATCTGTAAAAAGCGTCCGTATTTTTTTGATTGTAAATTACATTCAACGTGTTGCCGTTTAAATAAGTCTTTTTAAGGGGCTAGTTTCGCACATAATCGAGTTTATTTTTTTTCTAAACTTCTTTTATCAGAAATTCAGATTGCCAGATGTAACCTTAATATTTATAAATTGACCCGAAAAGCATGAAATGCCAAATTATAAGAAATTAGTGTACATTGATTTTCCTCAAGATAGTTTAGATATTGTGTTTCATCAGAATGCTTAGCAAAATAATCTTAACAGACTGTATCGATCCTTTCTTTTCAGCAAAGACTGAACTTATCATCGACAATTTTATTTTGATCGTTGACTGATAGAATTTGTTGACATATTTGTTGGCTGCAATAATATAAAATTAGATCAATATTTTAAAATTGTCAAGATTTTTATAGATATATACCAATAGCTGGAGTAACCCAATACAATTGAACACAAGTGTGAGCTGTTCTGCTGAAATGAATTGCATTACGTTTTGCACCCATGTTTTGCGTATTGATTTTAAACTTAAACCGAAACACAGAAAATGGTTCAAGCGTACAGAATTTATAGTGAAACGGTTAATGAAAGGAATAGAAGTCGAAAATTTACCATTTTATAAAAATCTGAGATATTTCGTGCCCATAAGCATGCAGAAAGCGCTATGATAAAAAAGTACACCAAAACCTACGACATCTGTGACGATATGAGTTTTCGATGAAGTGTAACTGTAATCTAAGGTGTGACAGTCTTTTATAGGTTAAACTCACATCTGCGCAAAACTACACACAGTAATACTGTTAAAAATCGCCAGTCGTTCAACGTTTAAACAGAATTTCACCGTAACTTCGATTCTAATAATATTCGATTTTACTGAAGATATTAGTTTGGGTTATGACGCGCTATTTAGTCTTTCTCTATTATGCTGATGGATTTGTGGGCGTGTACTAAAGCAAGGATGTTATAGTCAGGGCTGAATTGACCACTAAGCGAAATAGACACGTGCTTAAGGGCACCGGGGGAAGAGGAGCATCACAGAAATTTTCATAGCCGTTTTTCAATAGGTTCTCAGTGTTTATTGAAATGATTGGTCAAGCGATTCAGACATCAATGCTGGCCTGGTTGAAATAAATTTTGCTTGTTTTTCCTTCTCAAGTATCATCTTAAACCGCTATAAATGTCTTCAGGCATGAGAACCATTTTTAAAATATGCGTAAATTAATCATAATTTGTCCTTCAATCGGTAATGAATACTGAAATTTACTTCCAATTTCAGATAACACGGAACACCTATTATCGGACACGTCAGTTTACATAACGATCGTTTCAATATGATGTTGTTGTTCTTGTTAGTATTATTCTTCCCTTTCGTCATGATGAAATCGCTTTTCTCATCGAATACTGGACAAATTGCTTTGAAATTTTCAGTGGTTGAAGATTAATTTTTTTGCCAGAAGGCTATTACTTTTACTTATTTCAAGAATTTCTGTGGACTTTAAGAAATTCGTTTTTAATGTGGCGGAATAAAATATAGCGACACCTTGTGACGTGTCCATATATATGAGCACAGCTCTCTTGTTATTATATATAGGACACCAAAGTCTTAAGTGCTTAGGGCCTCTAGTCTAAAGGCCATGATGCGCCGTGTCCTATATTAAATTTCACACTTGCTTTCTTTTTTCTGGTGATTTCATTATGTCATAAATGGGGGCTCCCGAAGTATGCGAACCAAGATGGCGGACATCGGAATGTAATATGTGTACTAGGTTAGGGTTAGGCCATAATTTTAGGTATAAATACTACGGGAGGCTCTTGGCTAGTCTTCGAACTGATAATAGGACTAAAATAAGGAAAATTAGAAAAAAATTATCGCCTAACCCTAACCTGTTACCCATGTTACGTTCCGATGTCCGCCATCTTGGTTCGCATACTTCGGGAGCACCCATAAATGTTTGTAAACCGTGTGGCACGGTAATTGTTTTCGCTAGGTTACTTTGAAAAAAATCAAGGCAGGCAAATGCACATATTTAAAAATTACCCAATCTTCATACCTTTACTTAAAAAAAAACTAGAATTGTTTTATAATCAAAAACTTCTTAAATTTTCCACCGCCGATCACGGTATTTATTATGTCAGTAGTCCAAGAATGAAATAAGGCTCGCAGCAATATTCATGTGACATGCCTCGATGAACACACGCAACAAAAGACTGGATTGTAATTCTAGCACTGCTTGTTGCTGGCGTGACTCTCGATAACATTTTCCCGTGTACGATTGTCGCAATTCGACGGCATTTTATATTTGAGTGATTGTAATGTGCTCAAAATTGCTTCGTTTTTGGCTATACTGCCATTCAAAATGCCAATGTCTTGTACTGGAATTAGACAAACATAGCAATATTTGTTTTTAAATGTAAAAGTTGTAACCGGCCATCAAGCAAGTTTGTGCAGTGAGGCGAGACATCAGCAAATATTGCGAAACACACTGCAAATCATCGTGCTACTTTTGTAGGCTGCATCAACCTTCAATTGCCGTATTTAAGGAAAAATATTATCAGTGGAACGTTCGCATGGAGATACAAATCGTAGATTTCAATGACTGCTTTGAAAATGGTCAAAATAAAATTGAAAACGCGGCGTTGACAGAAGCTGGAATGAAGTTATATGAAACGTTTTCCAGGGATGGTTTTGCCTATATTACTACAAGCGTGATCACGAGGTAGGTGGGTTTAATCTAATCGGTCAACAACCGCGACATAATATACATGTGCAATAGGTAAATAAAGTACCATTTGTAGAGCATATACTCAGAATATGCCATAACAAGCGTTACCAACAGTAATCATTAGACGTTATTAGAATGCTGTTTTGGCAACTGCATGGAAACGTTTCTACAAAAAGTGCCAAATGTACCCTAACGTGTAGCAATATATCCCACTGTGCATCATATTGACCATTTGTTCAATATATACTGGACTGTTCGATCGTTTCTAACCTTATGATTGCATGGGAATTATGATTTTTGAACCCAACTAGTTTGAAAAAAGCAACAAGGATATGGCAGTTGATACTCTAACTAAGACTAAAAGATTGATAGATAACTTATATTCGTAGCAAATTTGCGGGATGTTAGCCAGTCGAGGCGGCCCCACTTCAGTGGTTTTTGTATTCAGAATATGATTTCATGTCGAGTTGCAATTAACCAATGAATGCATTGCATGACTGCGTTTTGCATTTGTTCAATTTTATTGCGTAGCCTAATTAAATTTGTATGAAATAATTTCATGCTTCTAAGTTCATCTTAATCGTGAAACGCACTTATATCTATGATTGCAGAGAAGATGTTCTCGAAATCGACAGTTTATCGAGGAAGTTTTTTGGCCTGCCCACGGAAGAAAAGACAATGTTTTTCAACGGTCGATTGGGATTAACCTATCTTCCAATAGGAACAAGAAAGTAATCTTTATTATTCATTACAAGAAAATGTCGTGTATTTTACTTCGATTTTGGTTCATCTATAAAGCCTTAGTATCACCCTAGACTGTTATACTATATGTCCATGTTGATTTGACGTCATCGTCTACTAATATGGTATACCACCTATCATTCGTCAGAATAATTTTAGGGTCTTTTCAGACTTAATGGGGTCATTTTGAGTTATGTTTACTGCTTATCTGTTCGCCCAGCTGAGGTTGCGATTGCAGCCCAGACAGTTTCGACACACTCAAACAAACAGACGTGCCTGTTTACTTGTTCGTGCCACTCTACTACGAAATCCCGCCACATCTCATAGGAGATTCACTATATACTCTCACACGGTAACTTATCAGCAGCGTTTTCCAAGGCAAAAGGACAATCAAAAGTCTCTGAGTACAAAAAGAGCGAGATTTCTGTATACAATTGGCAAACAGTAACTAGTGAACACAATTTTTCAATCAGATATCATTCGAAAGATATAAAGAAACCAGATTATGTAGAAGGTTTTCGTGTTCCCTATATCACCTGTGACAACAAATGGCCAAATATACCAGGATTCAGTGAAAAAATCAGAAAGTTTGAGGAAAAGTGTAAACTTATTGGATTACAAGTTTTCAAGTCCTTGGGCATGGCTATGAAATTGAAGGCAAGTTAATATCACCATTTAATTATAGTATTATTCCTATCATTTCACAATTCTGGGTTAAACGATCGCGCCATTGTTTGTACAGGACAAGGATAAATTTTACAATTCACATCATCTCTTGAATTGCGAAGGAAACCCGTCTTCTTTGAAACTTCTTCATTACCCTCCTGTAAATGATGACGTCATATCGGAAGGAGTTCAAACTAGGTTTCCTGAGCATACTGATTTTGGATCTCTGACGTTTTTATTCGGCGATGATTTGAGTGGACTGCAGGTTGGTGTCAAGTCTGCCAGATATTCTATTATTAATAAAGTAATATTTAAGAGCATTGATTGTAAGAATTGAAAGGTTCATCACTAATTCGGTATCGAATATTATATTCTGCTTTGTAACAACTATGAACGTACAAAGGGACGAACTCAAATAGCATTAAGCAATTGTCGTGTTGCATATCCGATAAATCCCGAGAGGCAAAATGCAGACCGGAATTCATTATGCATCTCCCGATATGAAAACTAAATAAATTCCAGGCTTTTGCGTTTTAGGTGAAAAATTCGGACGGTGAATACAAGAATATATCAAATGTTCCAGATTCAATCCTGATTAACGTTGGCGACGAGCTGCAATATTGGACTGGTGGACGACTCAAATCAACGGTATCTAAAGTGAAATCGATTTCATGAGTGATAGAAACAATATTGTGTCTTGACAAATGTAATTACTGATCAATACTAAATTTTATGTTTCTACCAGCTTTTCTGAATTGGTGGCAAGTATTTTCGTAAATCACTAACATTTTGAACATTGTAACGACACTACTGAAACGCTTAAATTATTTTCTTAGATGCATCGCGTCATAGTCCCTGATGACAAAGAGAAAAGACTGCAATCCAGGAGATCAATCGCTTTTTTCTTTCAAATAGACAACGATGTTTTATTGGATAAATTGGAATTTGAAGACGGCAGCATAGCCACTACCGATGGCTGGACAGCAATGTCGTCAGAGCAGTTCATTGCAAAGCGCTTTAAAGAAACTTATTATTAACTCAATGAGCTAACATTCTTAACCAGTGTTACCAAGATTTAACAATTTTCTACAATATATCTGAAGTTATATATGGCCGTTAGACCAAATCAGTCTGTATTATTTTGGAAAAATGTTTGCATTATCCACTAAGGTGAAATTTCTCTGTTCTAGTGTATAAGTTAACGGTCGGATCTTAGCGTAATTATTGCGTCACGGATATAACACAGCAAGGATACAGGCTAGCAAAATTATGTCCATGCATATTATGAGTTTGTGCTTGTCAACTAAATTACTTAGGAAAACGTTTTCCATCTTCTATTTTCACTGATTATACACCCAATTATTTTTTAGACGTTACTATTTCCGTGTCATCCAATATTTAATCAGTATTATGTATATATAGCCTATATTAGAAAGAAAGCTTAAAACACTTATCAGTACTACTTCCTATACTTAGCACCTTAGATACCTCGCTCACGTAAAAATGTCAATTCTTCAGTTACGTCAAACACAAATAAATATGCTTTGTCTTACACGACCTTTCATATTCACTTGGTACATCGAATAGGTACATTAGGTAATGCATACGGCCTGCGCATAGTTAAAAAATGCAGTGGAAAATTTCGTACGAAAGTTAATTGGCGATAGAGGGCGCTTGATGTTATTGTACTTGACGTATAGTACGGACTTGCATTTAGACAACGACATTATATGGCTTTGAAAAAACAGTTACTAATTTTGATACAGAATTAGTTCCACAAATTAACTGTGAAGTATGTAATTCGAATATTTTTATAGCGCAAGTGAGTATTATTTATACATCGCAAGTTCTATCAGTTATTTCAAAAATACAAGTTCGTGTTATTTACATGATTTTACAGTTTAATTCTTCCTAGGGCTATAGTTTTAAAGGACTTGGTCTTAGAAAACTTTTTCGTCCTTATTTCTATAAGAAACGTCCTTATTTTGACATGTGTTCTTATTTTTGTCCTTATTTTAGGGGGAGGGATTTTTATACCGAGCACTTAGTTTGGTCAATTCGGACAATGGATTTGCTAGAAATGATTAAAACCTTATTGATTGCTATTGCTACACGTATTCGACGTGACGTAATGACATCAAATTAATTACCACAGTGACAAAACAAGAGCCTACCGGCATAGATCTTTTTGTGTAACACGAATCAAAATATAGTAGTGAATGAGAGCTTTGCAGTTGACGAGTAGAATCATTCAAGATCTGATAGATCCTACTGATTTAGTTTTCTGGCGTTCTAAGCGACTGTCTTCTTCCCAAGCATTTCAGCACGTGTTAATTTCGACTAAATTAAACTTCAAATATACTCTAGATCTGGAGGTTCATACGAGATAAAATGAGTAAACGTGAAAACATTTGCCGTGATGATTATGAAAAAGAATTCAACGGCGTCAAACTAAACTAGCGTTTCCCAACCTTTTTGGTCGGGGACTATTGTCTTACCCGCGAAAACCTTTGCGCCTCAAGGTGCGATCATTGCAACCGTAGTCTGTGTGAAGAAGCAATAAAACCAAACACAACAGAAATTTATTGATTTTCAAAATCGGAAATTCGCCGCAATTACAAGTTCGTTAAAAGAGCTGTCTTTTTTTAGTGTATAATGGGCTTTCCTCTCGCACAATATTCAATCCATGACAACGACGAGAATTTAGAAGGTCTTTCTATTTTAATTTAATTGTGTTCATGGTAACTCGCGGTGGCGTTGACTCATAACAAGATGAAAGCATTACTTCTTTGAAATGCCACGACAATCTGCGAACATAATAATGTGAGAATATATTGCCCGATTATATTTAGTTTTGATACATATTTTTTGCGATCTTGCGAATTTGTTATCGCCGTTAGAAACATCCTACTATCTGCAATGAATTTCCAGATTTAGTACTTATTAAAAATATATTCAAAGTATATTAGTAAATTAAAAATACATATTCATCGCCTTGCCCCGGTAGTCCAAGAAATGAATTCAACTAGAAGAATATCCCACTTTTATTAGAAAGGTTCGGAGCAATATTCACGTGAAATGCCTCGATGAACACACGCAAAAAATACTGGATTGTAATTCTAGCACTGCTTGTTGGCGTTCCTAGCACTCCTGGCGTAACTCTGGATTAGATTGTTGCTACGTGCTCAAAAAATTTATTCGTTTTTGGCTATACTGCCACAGCACGGGTCGGCAACGTATTCTTTCCGGCGTACCAATTTAATGTTAAGATATACGTTTGCGTACCGATGAAATATTGCGTTGTATAATAAAGTTATTGAAGTTAGTTTTAATATATATATTATACAAAGAAATATTCACAATAACCTTCTGTTTTAGTGGAATCTTGCCCTTGCTTTTCCTCACTCAGAGCAGACACTGAGAACTGTTTATTCGTTGAGAGAATGACATGTTTATTTGGCACATCTTCAAAAGAACTTCGGAACAATTGATAAATACTTATTTAATGAAAATACCAAGGGCAAAAGGCTCCCCGCGCGCGATTGGCGATACATTCTGCATTTGATAGCTACTTTCTGTGCTTTGAATTGCGAATGAAAAACTTCTTTGGAAATATTACTTTGTTTTTCATAACGAGAAGCTGCGCTCTTGAGAGCTTCATTCTTCTCAGAATCACCATTGAATAATTTTTTTATTTCAAAATGACGTTTAATACTTGAGGTACGGCAAACGACATTTTCACAGCAGATTGTACACATAGTTCTGTCACTACGGCAGACAAACACAAAATCTGTTGTCAACAATTTCTGAAATTGACTCACGTCTGATTTTGACCTCTCGGCTACAGACATCGCGTTTATCATCACAGTTGAAAACGGAATAAAATCTCGTGCCGGGGGTTGCCGACCCCTGTGCTACAGCATTTAAAATGTCAATGTCATGTACCGGAATTAAACGAACATAGCATTACTTGTTTTTAAAAGCAAAAGTTGTAACCGGTCATCAAGCAAGTTTGTGTAGTGAGGCAAGACATCGGCAAATATTGCGAAACACTCTGCACAGTATCGCATTATTCTTGTTGACTGCTTTAACCTTGCGTCGCCGTTGTGAAAGAAATATTGTCAGTGGGGCGTTCACATGGAGATACAAATCGTGGACTTTAGGAACTGTTTTGAAAATAGTCGATATATAATCGAAAACGCCGCGTTGACAGAGGCTAGAATGAGGTTATACGAAACGTTTTACATGTACGGTTTTGCTTATATCACTACAAGCGTGATCACGAGGTAGGTGGGTTTCACCTAATCGGTCAAGAAGGACGACATAATACGTATGTGAAAAATATAAATTAAATACCCTTTGTAGATCATATACTCAGAATAGGCCATAACAAGCGTTACCAACAGTGATCATTAGACGTTATTAGAATGCTGTTTTGGCAATTGCATGGAAACGTTTTTACAAAACGTGCCAAATGTACCATAACGTGTGGCAATATACCCAACTGTGCAGCAGATTGACCATTTATTCAATATATACTGTGCTGTTCGATCGTTCCCAAACGTATGATTACATTAGAAATATGATTTTTTACCAAACTGGTTTGAAATGAAAAATAACTAAAGATATGCAGTTGACACTCTAAAACAGTGGTTCCCAACCTTTTTCATATCGCGGCACACTATTTAGCACTTTGAATGTTCGCGGCACACTTATAACAAAGCATGAACATTTCTATGCATAAAGCCAGTTTGCTATAAAATAAAAATAAAAAGAGAAGATCAGATAAAGGGAATTTTATTCATATAAATACAACATACCCTGTATTTAGTAACAGGTATAGAATAGTAATGGTGAATGTCAGTAGGACTGTTATGCCTGGTGCTTCTTTATCATTGCTGCTTTTTGTGAGGAAGACATCCTCCTAACTCTCTGAGAGGGGGGGGGGGGCTTTACAAAATTATCATTTTCGAAAAGTGCGATAGTCGAGCGCAAACAAATGGTTAATAGTTACCGATAATATAACTATTTTTCACAAGAATGTACACGAGAGCGCCTTCAGGGCACCTAACATTATTGTAAAAGATGCGCGGCCGCACGAGTAATATGTGGTCTTCAACCGCTCCGCCGATCACGAGCTTCAGTTTTGCTCGTCCTTCCGCGTTCCACGTTTCGGCCTTATTATCACAGTTATTCTCACTTTTGCAAAACCTAAATCTTTTTTGTTACAGTTTGATATGTTTCTCCCATTGCCAAAATCATTCAATAGTGTTATTGTCGGTATTTACGAGAGAAAGGAAAGGGCAAACAAACTGTTTTTCATTACAACAATTAATTATTATCGCTAAAAACACTAAATTGGTTTCAAGTTGTTATAAACCGCTTGATGTATCTTTTCACGTTATGAATTTCGTGCAAGGCCCAAGCATATATTGGTGGCGATGATCATAGCATTTACTATGTCGAAACGCTTATTCGACTATTCAGACCGCAGAAACTATTCGAAAAAGGTCACCGTTTTTGTGTTCGAGATATAAAATAATCGTCAATTTTACCACGCTTTTGTGAAGTAGTGCAATTTACTAAATTAAATGAAGGTTTCATGAAGTTTGATTGCAACAGTTTTTGGACTACCACGCGTTTCGCCAAATTACTGGCGTGATTACAGGTCGCAAGGGAGGGTGAAATAGCATCGTTTTATCAAATCGAATATTTGGAATACTTTTAAAGAATTGTCGAATACCGGGTATTTTTAGTATATATATACACAACATGCATGCAGACCGCTAGACATTCTAATGTTTGTGAGCTATTTCCGCCCGTACTCTTTTTCTACAAGGACCAATTATAACACAACGGCGAACGTCGAAGTTTGGCTTTATATTCCTGGAAGGACTATGCGTTCATATCGGCGACATATAATAAGGAGTGAATTCGGAATTTTATTCCGATTTCCATCTTGTGCGCCGGCTTTGATCTTTTTCACCACCGTTTGTAAATTACTTGTCCCAACTTTAAGCTAACAATATTACCAGTTCTGACGCCGGAATGCGGATATATATGAAGACGATAGTTGACCTTCTTATGCTTTTATTTTCTTCCGTGTCTGTTTTATTTTCCTATTAAGTAGTGAACAAAAAAAACCTGCAAAGTCATTGCGTGAATCCTAAATGTTATTTTGATTTCAAATGATGATTTAATAAATCGGCTATGATGGCAATTCTACTAGTCAAATAATAATTATTTGGGAAAATTTTCGCACAATAATTTGTTACCTTGTTTGACATTTTCAATTCTACGAAACGGTGTTGGCGCGCTTTATGCAGAACTCAGAATTGAGACAATACCCAAATACGACTCCTCAAATTTCTCGTTTCTGTTTGTTAGCAAGAGCCGTGTGGTGATTCTTGCGGAATTCAAGGGATTGAGAATTGGAATTACATGAAACAAATTTAAAAATGAAATCTCTTCGCGGCACACTACTCTAAAACGGCACGACTCACACGGCACCACTGCTCTAAAAGATTGATAGATAATCTATATTCATAGCAAATTCTCGGGATTTTAGCCAGTCGAGGCATAAGCATAGCCACTATCGATGGTTGGACACCAATGTCGTCAGAGCAGTTCATTGAAAGAGCTTTATAGAAACCTAATATTAACTCACTGAGCTAAAACTCGTCACCGGTGTTACCAAAGTTTAACAATTTTTTAGTATATATCTGAAGTTATATAGCCTTTAGACCAAATAAGCATGTATTATTTTTTTTAAAAAGTTTTCACGATATATTTATTATTTACTTACTATAAGGTGGAATCTCTCTGCTCTCGTGTAAATAAGTTAACGGTCGGGTATTAGTGTTAGTATTGCTCCACGTGTATAACGCAGTAAGGCTACAGGTCAGCACAATTTTGTCCATGCAAATTATAAGTTTCTGTTTGTCAACTAAATTACTTAGGAAAAAGTGTTCCATATCCCATTTCCACTGATTATAGACCCAAGTATTTTTTAGACGTTAATTTTTCCGTGTCATCCAATATTCAATCAGTAATATTTAATCAACACTTATCAGTACCATTTCCTACCTGGCACCTTGGATACTCTGCTCAAGTAAAAAGATCAATTCTTCAGATACGTCAAACACAAACAAATATGCTTTTTCCTACACGATATTTCATATTCACTTGGTACATCGAATAGGTACATTAGTAAAATGCATATATTTCCTAGTTCAAAAATCCATTTAGACTACAATATTATATTGCTTCGAAAAACAGTTAGACTCAAACTGCTACACAGTATTTTTATAGCGCAAGTGGGTATTTATACATCGCAAGTTCTATCAGTTATTTCAAAAATACAAGTTCGTTTTATTCACAGGATTTTAGAATTGAATTTTGGCTAGGGTTATAGTCAAAAATTTTATACTTTTTTGGTTTCTAAAAAATCTAAAATCATTTGAGTCATTATTTTATGCAAAGTTCGACGTTCGTCCCAGCAGCAACACATCTATAATTTTGCAATGTCGTCACTCAGTATCCAGCGAGAACTGACCTGTTCTTTTTATTTGTATATGCACTCTTTATCAGTAAGGCTGAACGGCGTTAAATACTACGAAAGGCTTGCATTGGCCGTTCAGTGTACGCAAAAATAGATTGTCAAGCTATCTGGTATTTTGGCAAAGGCAATTGATATGGAAATACAAGTTGTTGATTTTGAAGATTGTTTTAGAAAAGGTGAAAATGAAAGTGCCGATACGGCTCTGACTGAGGTTGGGACAAAGTTATGTGAAACATTCTCTAAAGATGGTTTTGCATACATCACTACCAGCGTGATAACGAGGTATGTAAGCAGATATATATTATGCCAGTTGACATATGGGCGATAGCTCAAAGCGTTCAGTCTATAAGTAATGAACATCCTTGATATGCGCCGTGTTGATGAGCCTAATGAACTGAAGGGTTTTACTCTCCTCAGAACTTATATTGCAGAATATACTACAATGTACATTGTGTCCTAATGATTTAAGAGCTGAGCTGTGTTCTGAACTGATGTAGGCCATTTGGCTTGAAAATGAATCGCCATTTCTCGGTTTAGAATTGAAATACCCGAATCTCTTTTACATTCACAGAGAGGAAGTTTTGGAAATTGACACTTTATCCCAGAAATTTTTCTCACTGCCGACAGAAAAGAAGAAGACTTTTAACAATGGACGCACTGGATTAACCTACGTTCCAATTGGAACAAGGAAGTAATTTTCACCGAGTGTTATTATTATGCGAGAAACTGCATTCACATGTTACGTTGATCGGATAGAAGTAACGATAGATAAAATGGCGCATGGGTTGATGGATTCCTCAGTTAAGATATCTTTTATAGAGTTGAATTTATATGTTGAATTTCGTCCACACATCATTCCTAAATGTTCCAATATAAATGCCAAGCCGTAATCGAAAATAGTTGTTTCAGTTCACGAAATAGTGGTTAATACACACTGAAAAGTAATCAATCAAACAAAACAAAAAAACAACGAGAATAAATTATCTGCATTGACCCCAGGAAGATAGCATTCTAATTTCTATTAATTCACTCAGGGTAAACTGAGAAGACTACTTTTGTACCATGTGACCATTGATCAATCAATCCTGTCAATGGCAATCAATCAAAAATGCAGGGGTTTTAAAAAAAACTTATATGCATAAAGTTTTGACAATTTGATTTGATCAACGTAGAAATCATTTAGAATGATTAGTTTAATCGGAGAAGATTTATATCGTAAATTGCCATATAATACCGTTCACCGTAAGTTACTCGTAACTCTCTTACGTTCACGTAAAACAATTTCGAAGCGTCCATAAAAAGTTTTGCAGCTCCTTCAAAGATGAATTAACAGAACACCAGATTTATTTTAAATCAGATCTCATTCGAAAGGTGAGAAGAAACCAGATTATGTAGAAGGCTTGCAGCTTCCTTATTTTATCGGAGCCGAGTATTGGCCTGATATACCCGGGTTTCGAGAAAAAATACAAAAGTTTGAAGAAAAATGTAAAGTTATTGGATTACAAGTTTTCAAGTCACTGGGCCTCGCTATGAGGTTAAAGGCAAGTTAATGTGTACTTCCAGATTTAAAATGTAGATATGTTTATGTTATGAAAAATATGTTGTTTTAGAGACACAAGTAACTTACCTTTTTCTCTGCTTTGGCGCCGATGAATCCTTCTGCACCGAGTAAACTTCAATAGAGCAGTGTATTCATTAAAAATTGATCTTATGTATCTAATTACTTCCAACTGTGCTTTCGTTTTTTTTAATTTTTTATTTCTCTGAATTGCTCAGACGATATGTTGAGATACATAACTTTGATGAATCATATTAACAGTTATTTACAAACCTGGCCAAATTCTTTTTCGTGAAATGTTGTAAACGTTGCCTTTTTACAGGATAAAGATAAATTCCTCAAATCTCATCAGTCGGTCAATAGTGAAAAGAATTCGTCTATACTGAAACTTCTCCGTTATCCTCCTGTTGATGATGACGTCATATCGGAAGGAGTTCAAATTAGGTTTCCTGAGCATACTGATTTTGGATCTTTGACGTTTTTATTCGGCGATGATTTGAGTGGACTGCAGGTTGGTATAAATCTATCAAATAAATCAGAAAAAATTAATTCATTTTTGAAAAATTTGGAACCTTGATCAAGCGAAACGTAACAAAATTGCATTTGTAGCAGTGTGCAGCAAAACTCTCAAATCCCTTTGAATAGTCATATTTTTACTGCAGCATTATAAGCATACAGTCAGTTCGTCTTGTATAGCGCCAACTGTTGACTGTATTAGATTAATGAGGCATTAAAAGTAGTGAAAACGTTTCAAAAAATTGACTATTTCTCGTTGTCTTGCAGAAATTAATATGTAATATTTTATCTCACTTGTCACTTATTCCTATACTAGATAAAGAATTCCGAAGGAGAGTACAAAAATATATCTGAAGTTCCGAATTCGATTCTTGTCAACGTTGGTGATGAACTGCAATATTTGACAGGTGGACGACTTAAATCAACGGTATTTCACCTGTTTTTATATCACTGCTGATTTATTTACTCAGTATACTTACATCTGATTTTACTTACGTGGTTGTTTAGTTACTTATTCTTGCCTGCAAAACAAGCAATGACAAAATCTCAAACCAAATTGTTGATGATAAAAAATCCCCATATTTTCATCATTAGGTCATAAATAATCCCCAATGTTCCTCAATTAATCGAGTGAAAAGCTACAATTTATGGTGTTAATCCCACATCCGATGACCACTTCCGTGTGTATAATTTAACTCAAATATTAGAAGAGAATATTTATAGGATGTGCACTGTTCAATTGTATTTCCTAATCTCAGGCATTTTCTAACTTTACCGGTGCATTTTCATATTTTTTCTCCTCTAACGAAAGCATTAAAAAACACTTCAGATGCATCGTGTCGTTATTCCTGAGGACAGAGATAAAAGGTTACAATCCAGAAGATCGCTGGCCTTTTTCTTTCAAATAGACAAAGAAGTCATGTTGGATAAATTAGAATTTGAAGACGGCAGCATATCAATCACCGATGTACCAATGTCGTCGGACGATTTTTTTGCAAAGCGCTTTAAAGAAACTTATTATTGACTCAATCTGTAGATTTGATGATTTATTACGCAATTGCTTGTTAATAATTATGAATGAGTGATAAAAAATTATTATGCCACATCAGGCTATTTTGATTGTTACACTCGAGACGCCTCGTTTCAACAATTCGTTGCAAAGCGTTTTGAAGAAAATTATTATTGACTCAATTTGTATATTTCCTTTTGACATACCGCGCTTGTGGGTTTTTGGACTTGTTGATATCTGGTAATAGCTTAAATTTATTTATACGCTTGTTACCCGAAAAATGAATTAAACCGCTTAATTAATATTAATATCTCGACGTCTAACATTCCATTCATATTATTTTATCGGTTTGAAATGCAATTGTATTGTGCTTTAAATAAAATTAAATGTATATCATCGAGCCGTACGTTATCATCTGGAATGTTTCAATATCAAGCAGCCAATTTCTAACGCCAAGTCAAGTTAATTTAACCGGTAAAAATCACTCGAACAAATATTACGAGAAAATGATAATTACACAGTTTTAAATTTAATTCGAAAAGTTTGTTATTTTAGTGTTTTGAAACTACCTATATTGACAGAGAATACCGCACGAATTATCCGACTAATACTGCTTACTAGAGATAGATAAACTGTAGAGATTATATTATTATATTAAATTGTCATAATACCAACGGATGTTGATTATAAGTATGGCTGCTGTTGAGGCTGGTGTGTTTTTGCTGCTCTGTTTTATATCTGTTGAAATCCGTGGATTTCTTCTGGAAAATGAACAATTTTCGTATCGCACATAAGGGTTGGATTAAGTTGGTTTCACAATAAGTTACAAAACATAGACAATTTTAGGCATATGGGATTAAACTCGAACAACTGGATTTGGATGTGGAATGGAACACTGTGAATCAAAGTGTGATGGACAAATTGGTGTTGACGGTCACTGATGACCAAGTTCGGCTGCAGTATGAAACAGAACATTCGCAAGGTGTAAAGAGAATAAAGAAAATTCATGAAAAAGTAATGCGGATAATGGTTTTTGAAGAGATCAACATACAGACATCCAACGACCGTACAGGACATTCAGCTTGTGCTTCTGTGGGATGGGGCAAAATAAACATTTAATTAACAGCGTATTGCTGGCATATATATATACTGTACATATTGAACTGGTCATTATTACTGCGATAGCTTAGTCAGGGTGGTCCTAATCCAGGCCCACGAGCCACATGTGGCCCGCAGCTTTATTTTCTGTGGTCTGCGTCACATTCGGAGAATAATCAAAAAATCGCATTCAGTGTTGTTTTGTAATAAAATTAATCAGAAAAATCTTTTGATATATTGATACATTTCTAATGTCACTGAATTAAGTATAGTGTTATGGCTAGCCGAAGCAACTAGCGAAGTTGAATGATGTGCTTGGCAGTCTAAATTATTATCTGGCTTTCCATCTTTTTGGTCGGGAATATATGCTAACCATACAGGCATCATTGGAAACTTAAAATCGAATGCGGATTCTTTTGGCCTTGGATGGCTATGTCTGATAACTATGTGTTTGCACAATAAAAGTGTTTGTTTTGTATTGCAATGTTTACCTATTTTTGGCATTATTGTGGCCCGCGAACAATGCAAAAATAAATTTGTGGCCCGCGGAGTCCACAACTTTGGACCACCCTTGCTTAGATGTTTCAAAAGTATAACAGCCCGGAAGTTCCTATACATTCGAGTATCTTTCGTTTGATTATTTCTGGCTCAAGCCTTGTTTTAACTATAGGTTTGTGTTTTTTGTAATTTATTTGTATGTGTGTGTTGGTGGGCGGGCACATGATATTTCTCATGTTCTAAACTCTTTTAAACATTTTGCTCGCCCTTTTAAATTTGTGTATATTCTGGAGCATTCGAATAAACTATCTATCCATCTATCTATGTAAGATTGTAGGGGGTTACAATGTAGCAACAACGGTTAGAGTCCAGTGGTTCCCAAAGTGGGGTCCGCGGATCTTTTGAGATCCGTGAAGCATTTTCCGGGGGCCCGCGAAAGAAATTTGTTATATATATGGCTCATATTTCGATAATACAGAAATTAAGTGTTTAAATTTGCAAATGCACACTGTTCGTCTTTTGCTGCTTCGCATTCACTGCTGGCGACACTGATTTCTCCATAGTTTACTGAATAAAGTTCGCCCACGGACGGTTCGCTACGCATGAGTGATGCGTTACTACGTCATCAGTTTGCTATATTTTGAAGCTTACAGAAGGGGATTTCCGTTTTGATTTTATTTGCGTATTTGGAATGGTTTTGTTGGTTGGAATAAATGAAAATATATACTGAGGCATTAGGATAAAGTAGGGGGCCGTGGCATCTGCTAGTCATCTCTGTGTCGGTACCACAAGTCATCAAAGTTGATTAGGTAGGGGCAGAGTAATTCTGCTGTTCTGTGATTGCATTTATTGGATAGTAATTAAAGGTTTATACCAGGATTATAGCACAAAAGTAAGAATTCAATTACTCCTAGGTAGAGATGGACGATATAGCATAACGAATCCGAAGGATTCGAATCCCTCGAACTCGGTTTCCGTCTTTTCCGGCGCCGTGCGTCAATTTTTGTATATCGAATTTATAATTTATTAAATCAGGGACGAGCGTTATTCTCTCGCCACGAAATCTGTCTCGCGTGATTATACTTGTGTTTTCTCGCAAAGAGCCCGAACGCGTATGCGCCAGATATCAAACACCGTAATTCCAGCTTGAATATTCATAACGCGAAGACAGCGTTATGGCACCGTTTTATTATTGGTGCCGACTGCCATCATACATGGAATTTTCTGATTGCAACAATCTTCATTTATGGAATAGTGAAACATTCTTTATTTTAAATAAATGACTTTTCGAATTCTCGCGGAAAATGCTGAGTACCCGACGTTAGATAAAAAAATGATTATTTGATCATATTTTACGTTTCACGACACCAGGTTTCCAAAAATACAAAGTTATAGAGCAAAACAAAGCGTTTTGTTACATTTCTTTTGCGCTCCCAATAAAATACATATATCGTGGATTTCGAGTCACTGATAAACCTGTTCCTATCGCCCAAGCGCGACATACGCCTGGCCGAGTGTGTTGCGGTATTTTAGTGACACCAAATTAAAAAAGTTGCCACACGTGGTATGTATAACCAGAGCCATTATATAACTAGTCTGGAAGCTCTCGTTTTTCTTGCATGACACCGAGTTGTTAACAGCGACATCTGGTGTTGACGTGGGTTTTACACCCCTGTCGTCTGCTGGACAGTCGAATCAGGCAGTTTGATGCAGGTGATGTGTGATTGTTTTCAGGCCATGTTTACATATTCAAGTTGCGCGAAGTTGACAAGATATGTAAAACTGAAATAAAAAGGCAAACTATTAATATTAAACTTAAATATAGACTGTATATGCAGAAAAGGTAGTCTAGAATCCTATCCTAAGCTACTGGTAACTCCGATGCTGGTAACATTCGTTTTTTAGTTACAGAGTTAATTATGGTTCCAAGCAAGCATCGTATCCCGGTTGGTAAGAAAAGGAAATTTGGAATGCCTTCAAAAGAATGGACACAGAAGTTTTATCACGTTTTTTTGGTATCCGCAATTTTACCGTATTTTATTTTGGGTATCCAAAGCAAGGGCAAAGTTTATGCTCCAATTTCAGAAATATGGTGTAGGCTACTGCTGTATGTGATGTAATGAGTTTTCACTGTTTATTTTGTGCCTTATTGGACACGTTTAGTGGCCATAACGATCGTTACAAAATTTTGTTGTTATTGTTTTTATTTGTCTTCGTCTCCATTTTTAAAAAATCGTTTTTCTCTTCGAATACTGGACCAATTGCTTTGATATTTTCAGTGGTTAAAGATAAAATTTTTCTCCAGAAGGCTATTATTTTTTTTTTCTCGCTATGACGTCATCAAAATTATTGTCACTGGGTGGCGCTACGTGTCCATATATTTGAGCATAGCTCTCTTGTTGTATTCTAATGTTAGCCATTTATTATCTCACTTATGATTTTGACATATTAATTGCTAAGTAATTTTCTATTGCATCCAGATTGTGTTTAAATATCGCTACTCTCCTAACTTTAAAAGTATAGTTGAGGATGGAAAAGCTAGAATTTGTGCTGATAATGTCAAGGATGAAGATATTCAAAGGCTAATAAAAAAAGTTGGATTAAGTTTGGAGCATCCCCCAATTGTTCCCAAATATTCATCTATAAATGACTTATTAATCCACTTTCATCATCTCAATCTGCAATTATTAACTACATTCCATTATTAATGAAATAATTTCAGCTTTTGAAAGTATCACTTTGAAAAACTGGAGAATACATCAAATCAATACATACAAAGCTCATTTCACATACTATTCTAAATAATCACAGTTTACATGCGACACCGGAAATAAGCCTTCTAATTTGTCAATTTGACCAAAAACAATTTTCCCTTTCTTGTGCTTTTGCTTGAGTTTATTCTTCCACAATATCATCGGCACTAAATTTAAGAGAAGTCCCAATTTTAATCCTACTGAAAAACTTGGTTGATCTCACCCCGTGTTGGGTTACGATATTGTTTCCACAAATAGTTCATGGATTCCCAGAAGTGTTCCAGAAATAGAAAATGATGGCAGAATTTCCTTGAAATTAAAGTAAGATATTTTTGCATTTAGTCAGATATACTTCTATTTAGTTGTATTTTTGTTAAATTTATTTTTGGTATTGTATCAATACAGATATATCAGCTCTCAATGTGAAATAGTTTATTCTTATGCTGGTACACGACCCAACATCTGCTTCACTTGTATGCGTCTCCATGTGCATGATCAAGACAGTGACAAGAGAAAATTCAGCCTTTTTACAACATCTATGATAAAAGATTAGAATGGCTTGAAAAAGATTTTCCAAGATACCTGGATGATTGGGAAGAAAAGGCATACAGTAGTGGGAGAAGTTAATCGCCAGAAAATGCTGCTCAGTGATGCCACGAAAAATGGTTTGAGAGTGGCATCTATTTCTATGGCTGCGATTATTCGTATTGTTTTGGACAGTGGTGCGAGCTATGTTTTACCACAGCGCATAACCCAAGACCCTCTAGAGCAGAGGTCCGCAACTACTTTTCAGCGTGACCCAAAAATTCTTTTTCTAATTTCTCGCAACCCAAGCATTTGGTAAGCATAAAATTAGTTATCGATTTTAAGACTATTATTGACCCTATCAATTTTCTTGCATAAAATTATATGAAACTTAGCGTATAAAATGAATAATAGCGTTTATTATGACTAATGCGAATTATAAGCTTTGTGTTTCGAACACAACATGTCAATTCGAGGTTTAATTTGGGAGACGGTAACTCGAAGATCTTCTAGCCTTGTTCTGTATTTGTTCTTTATGTATGAAAACGCAGAAAACGTCCTTTCACATAAGTGGGTAGTTCCAAATGGCAACAGAACATTCATTGCATCAGTTAATAACTCCGGATATTCTTTTGCAACTGAAATTCAAAATTCAACCACGACAGACTGTCTGAATGGCAAAAGTATCTGAGCGCTTCTAAAATGTTTATTATCATGTCAAAATTTGCATTTATACTGATTGGCTAATGTCACCGCAGTACATAAGGAAGTGTATACTCGAGGAAACATCCATAATTATAATCGAAAATTTATATAGTTGTTATACCTAAATACGCTACACAGACGCGATGCGCATAATTATGGCAAATACATTCAGGTACTCATTTTTGTACCTAATTTCTTGGTTTGCGGCCCGCGTGGCCAATAAATTTCAAAACGTTGCCCGCGACATGTTTTGAGTTGGAGACCCCTGCTCTAGAGGCATATTTTGGTCACCAACGCGAGCGTGGTTCCCGTACTGGAAACCCCACCTTTAGTCGAGTAGTAGTGTTTTTGGTTCTAATGTTGCGATTGAAAATGATTGATAAATTTCTAGAAGCTGACTTCTTTCTGCTTAAATACATGCATACGAATTTATATACAAGTACTAGTCCATTTTCTTAAATTTGTTTCTAATTTTAGTGGCTGGCTCGTCTCTGCTTTAAATAATAGTTACCATATTGTATTCAAAATTATATTTTTATATGAATATTAATCGATGGTTTATTTGTCAAAAATGCCTCCTATTTGAGAAGCTGAATTCAAATTGAAAAGTTTCTCTATCTCTCGTATAATTTTATTCAAATTTGTGAAACCGCATCTATGTTTTAAATTTAGCTATCAATTATTGGTCTGTGCATTTGTCATTTTTCTCTACCAGGTCTGTGTGATTCTTCATATTTGAGTC